CGTTTTGATAAAGTTCGTCGTTTCGTTAACGATCGTTAATGACAACCCTTCGTTAACGATCGTTAACGACGACCTTTTGTTAACGATTGTTAACGACGACCCTTCGTTAACGATCGTTAACGAAGACCCTTCGTTAACGATCGTTAACATAATTGTCAATAAAAAAAAAATTCAAAAACGATCGTTTTTTTAAAAACGATCGTTTTTTAAAAAACAATCGTATAAAAAACGATCGCAAATCGTTTTAATAAAAACGATCGTTTTCAAAAACGATCGCTATTCGTTTTCTAAAAGTTCAAAACGAGTGGGTCGTTTTTAAAAACGATCGTTTTTTTCTGAAAACGAAACGATCGTTTTTGAAAACGAAACAAAAAACGATCGTTTAACGATCGTTTAACGATCGTTTACAAAAACGATTAAAAACCCTAGTTGCAGTACCCATGAAACCTTAAACTGATAAAATATGTTTTCCTGACTTTAAAAGTGTTTGAATTTGATAATTTCTCATAAGCAAGAAGTGCACAAGTCACTTTTGCAGATAATCCGCGAATGAAAATAAACAAAAACATGTTTATATATTTCTTACTTGATCAGATAACGATTTTAAAGGATCCAATGTGAATCGGAGATTTAAAAGATAAAATAATTGGTGTATTTTAAAATAAAAATCATCCTTATACTTGAGCGTACATTCAAAAACAGAAGAGCTAGGTGCAAAGTCGTTCGCATTAATTTGAACTGCTTCTTTTGTCAAGTGGAGTGTGATTATGCTTTCAAAATTACCAAGGAATTTCTCCACTAAAGTAAACAGTAGTAACGATACTTTACATTTTCAAATATGTTTTCATTCTTCCTAAAATTTTATAAACATTCCTTATATAAAGTTTCAACAGGAATTCAAATTTAAAATTGTGTACACATTAATTCTATCATCTTTTCATGCCTATTTCGGGAAAAGGTTTAAAATATTTTTTTTTCTGAGAAAAAGAAAATGTTTTAATTGTATTTTTCAAACTTAAGTTATTTGTTTATCAAATTAATTACAGATATTGGAATATTTGTTTATCAAATTAATTACAGATATTGGAATATTTGTTTCGTGAGATCCTAATAAAGTTTAATTGAATTAAATAGCGAATTTTTAAGTTCTATATGTTTTAAAACCAATCTAAACAGAACACCAACAATCCCAAAAAAGTGAGTTGCACAGTGAGCATGATCAATGTTGCATAATTTTAATCAGTCTTTATCTATCTTTGATGAATCTTACTGAATTTTAAACATTTAGATTTTAATTGTTATCTATATACTAAATTTCTCACTTTTATGATTTTTAAATCTGTATGTTTATAAATGTTATAAAAAAGTTTCATATCAGAATATGGGTCCTGATTCATCCCTCCCTATAATTATCATGGTTGCAAACCATTTTATATCAAATTCTGTCAGCTAAGAGAGAACAGAATCTTTACCGCTTAGCGCATCATATCAAAGAAACCTTATTATTTTCTCGTTCTCTTCTTGAAGAAAGATATGGCTAGATAGGTATTTTTCTGATCTTCTATCACCCCTTTATCTAAAATTGCAAACCACTCCCTTTAAACAATAAAAAGTAAAATGGCAGTGGTGTTTGACAGAAGCATCCCACCTTGTATAATTCCTATTCGACAAGTAGACAAATTAGGCTCGAAGGACTCATGATTGAAGGATATAGGGGGAGGCGGACCGGGGGGGGGGGGTTGCATAGGGAATCTGAATATTCACTTAATGTATTCATTCACCATGGAGGAAGTTCAGAGATAAACCTATCGATATATCTATCTAGATATCCATCTATCAATCTATCTAGACATCCATATATCTATCTATCTAGATATTCTTCTATATATATCTATCCATCTATTCGTTGTGAATTTAAATACTTAATAACCTACTACTGAAACCACCAGGCCCAACGATTAGATATTTTTAAACTCAAAGTTTTGTTATTAAACCTATTTTTGATAGTTTACGCTGAATGCCTTAATAAGAAATGTTTAATGAGATTACACGGTGTTCAACGATACTCGATGCAACTTAATTCTGAAGTGTACAAAACTTACATTGTACCACAACCTTCTCTACATTTTATATTAAATACTGCATTCTATACACTGCATACTGCACACGGTGTACACTGCATCCTTTAAATTAAACACTGCATATACTGAAACAGTGAGTTTTACACTGTACACCATAACTGAGCACTTTACACTATGACACTGTACACTTGACACTGTACACTTGACACTGTACACTTGACACTGTACACTTGACACTGTACACTTGACACTGTACACTTTACACTGTACACTTGACACTGTACACTTGACACGGTACACTTGACACGGTACACTTGACACGGTTCACTTGACACGGTACACTTGACACGGTACACTTGACACCGTACACTTGACACGGTACACTTGACACGGTACACTTGACACGGTACACTTGACACGGTACACTTGACACTGAACGCTTGACACGGTACGCTTGACACGGTACACTTGACACGGTTCACTTGACACGATACACTTGACACGGTACACTTGACACGGTACACTTGACACGGTATACTTCACGTTAAATTCCAGCTCCTTTCATGTACCGGGCCAAATTTCAACTAGTCAGGGCAAGCAGTGCAGTACAAATGCTTTATGAGGCAAAGCAGGACTGTACACTATAAACTGTACACTTTACAATGTACACTATAAACTGTACACTTTACACTGTACACTATAAACTGTACACTATACACTGTACACTTTACACTGTACACTTTACACTTTACACTGTATACTTTACACTGTACGCTTTACACTGTACACTATACACTGTACACTTTAACCTGTACACTTTACATTGTACACTTTACACTGTAAACCTTATACTGTTCACTTTACACTGTACACTTTACACTCTACGCTTTACACTGTACGCTTTACACTGTACGCTTTACACTGTACGCTTTACACTGTACACTTTACACTGTACACTATACACTGTACACTTGACACTGTACACTTGACACTGTACACTTCACACTTTACACTTTACACTGTGCACTTTTACACACTGCACTGTACACTTTACACTGTACACTTTACACTGTACGCTTTGCACTGTACACTTTACACTGTACACTATACACTGTACACTTGACACTGTACACTTGACACTGTACACTTTACACTGTACACTTTACATTGTATACTTTACACCGTACACTTTTCACTGTACACTTTACACTGTACACTTTCCCTGTACATTTTTCACTGTACACTATACACTTTTCACTTTACACTTTACACTGTACACTTTTTCCTGTGCACTTTTCACTGTACACTTTACACTTTACACTTTACACTTTACACTGTACAGTTTACACTGTAAACTTTACACTGTACAATTTACACTGTACACTTTACACTGTACAATTTACACTGTATACTTTACACTGTACACTTTACACTGTACACTTTACACTGTACACTTTACAGTGTACACGTTAAATTGTACACTTTACACTTTACACTATGAGCTAAAGCAGTACTGTACGCCAAATGACATAACCCCATTTAGTGAAATTTATGTGACTTTACACTGTACACTATAATCTGTACACTTTCACTGTACACTATACACTCTACACTTCACATTTTACACTTTACACTGTACACTTTACACTGAAAACTTTACCCTGAACACTTTACACTGTACAATTTACATGGTACACTTTATACATTGTACACTTTACACTGTGCACTTTACACTGTACAATTTATACTGTCCACATTACACTGTACACTTTTCACTGTACACTTTACACTGTACACTTTACACTGTACACTTTACACTGTACACTTTACACTGTACACTTTACACTGTACACATTACACTGTACCATTTACACTGTATACTTTACACTGTACACTTTATTTTGTACACAATACAATTCACTGCACAATGTACACTTTGCACTTTAAAATGCACATAATACAGTGTGCAGTATGCAGGGTATTCTAACATTAATAATTTAATGTTTACATTTCTTAGTTTTTTATTTTAAAAAGTTAAATAAAAACATGAATAACCCTTGAAAATCATGTATAATACATATTTATATTTGATTTTGCATGACTCTGATGTCTGATGAAAACATTAGTCGAAAATGTTTAGATAAGTTCTGATCTCATCAGACTGCAATTTAGCAACATGTGGTTGTAATTAAGTATATGATAGTATTCAGTAGTATGGTCTATAATATTATTCAGTAGTATGGTTTATAACATTATTCAGTACTAGCTAAAGGGCCCGGCGTTGCCCGTGGAAAAAAATTTCGCATTTTGTTTAGCCTAAAACACCCAAGAGTGTCCACAAGAAATTTCAGCCCATTCGGTCCAGCCGTTTGGCCGGCTATACGCAACATATATATGAATGTCTTGTTTAATCATATAGATTACGGTTTATAATGTTGTTTAGTAGTAGGGTTTATGATATTATTCAGTAGGGTTTATAGTATCTAGCAGTAGATTTTATAGTATCTATGCAGTAGAGTTTATAATATCTATCAATAAGGTTCATAATCAGCACATTTATAAAATTAATCTTTATTATTCAATTTACATCTTTTCAACACAGATTATTTATTTTTTAGGAACTTATTTCAAAATGTCCCGTAAATTGACTAGTAAAAAGAAATGTCAACATGATTAGATGGTTTGAAGACTACAAAAAAATGACAATGGTGGCCCTTAACAGGAACTGTATATTTAATTACAATTGACTCTACATTTCTAGAGGGGTACAGGGTGTCCCACGAAACATGACATTTAAAAAATCGTTATTTTTAGTTAAAACATCCCTTTGCTTCATTATCTTTTACTTTGAAATCAATTTTAATATAACATGACTCCCATATAATATTTTTATTGATCTTTGGTACCAAACCACTCAACAAATTATGGAAAAAGACATTCTAAACTATTCACCAAATGTCATGTTTCGTGGGACACCCTGTATGTCAGGTTCACGACTTCACGAGATTTACATAATTGTCACATTCAAACGCTTTTCACAAATTTTTGATCATATAGAAAATTTAAAGGTCACTTGTTATTACGGCTGTCCCTTTAAGACTATATCAAAGGAAGAACGACTTTTCATGTTAAAAAAAAGATTTTTCAAAGATACATGGATGATGGTCTCAGACATTTTAAGGACATACTCAAATGAATTTAACTATAAAATAATGTAGACTCAAAAAGGCTGGAGGGTCCGAATCTATTTACAGCCTGGAGAAAATCCTTATGTCCTTAAAGTATGGAGGTGCAATACATATTTATGTAAAGACCATCTCTTTTTTTTAGACTTTTTAGAATTCTCAAAATATTGTTAAAAGATCAGCTATTAAGGAGAGGAAAGCTTGACCGTTCTATTTAAAACTTTTTGTAAAAATTAAATTTTAAAAATAAATGTTAAAAAAATTGTTAGATTTTTTTACAAATATTTCTATATCTAAAAAAACATTATTTATTAGCTACAAATGTATTCCAAACTGTTTTACCAAAAAAAATATAAAATCCTAATTTCGAACCATCGAAAGCAAATATTAACGTTTTGTTCAAAATTACGTAAAAATGTTTGAAGTTTCGAAATGGTGTTGGTAGTTCAGTTCGATATTACATCCAAAATGTAGGATATTTTATTACAGAGTCAAGAAGTGTTGATGATAGAGTTTCAAGAAAAAGAGCGGTAAGGTAACAAAAAGAGGGGAAGGGGGTAAACGCCCACTCCCCCTCCAAAGCCGTTTTGAGGTGTACATACTTACCGTCTAAAGTTTCGCATGGTACAAAATTGACTAGCAATAACACTATTCATGTCTATATAAATCTGATCTTGGCCAAATGGATTCATGAATGGTGAATAATTTGGCTGTTGATTGAACGATACATTTTGTGATTTTGGCCGTTGTTTTAACGATCTTAACTTGGACTTCTGTGGAGTGTAATCAAGAGTGCATTCAGTGTACTGCTGTTGTTGTTTATTTCTTTGATTTACTGGATACCGGTTCACAAAAGAGCTGTTTACAAACACCGAACTCCTAAAAAAATAAAACAAATTAAAATTTCCAAATGTAAAATCCATTTATTATTCATAACACAGCAATTATAACAAAATTACTGCTTCTATGTAATATTGACGACTAATATCTTTATTGCTAATTAAAATTTCTTAAGAATTTTGCTAGAAAAAAAGTTACTACATACTTAGAATTACACGCTATGTAGGTTGCAAGTAAGATTGCAATCTTATATGATTTTTAATCATAACTCATCTTATAAAAGAGCTATCGAGATGAACAAAAAAGACAAGTGGCGAAGCGTCCGGGGAATCTAGTACATAATACTTTAAAAATGACGAGAACAGGGCTGAAAACTTTAGAATGGGATATCCTTAATCCCGATCTGTTGACTTTTATGGAGATTAAATTCATGTGGGGAACAAGCCATATTTAATCTGGAGATCAAGAAAAAGAGAGGATTAAGCATTAATCCTGATATCCACCATTCTAAAGTTTTCAGCCCTGAGCTGAAAACTTTAGAATGTGATATCCTTAATCCGGATCTGTTGACTTCTCTGGAGATTAAATTCATGAGGAAAACAAGCCATATTTAATCTGGAGATTAAGAAAAAGAGTGGATTAAGCATTAATCCTGATATCCACCATTCTAAAGTTTTCAGCTNGGGGGGGGGGGTATCATATTTGTTGATAATCTTATATCCTCTTTGTCCAGGCACGTATAACCATTAAAAATCCCCCAGTTTCCTTGATTTCAACCACCAAACCCCAAACCATCAAAGGTAGTTTTGTCAAGGCCAGGACAACTATTATTGAACTGTAGAAATGTTATACCAATTTACATACAAACTGCTGAAACTACTTGACTTCAAACGATTACGAGTTTAGAAGTTTAAAAGAAGTTTAAAACACCGTAAAACCAAAAATTCTAGATTTGATGTTTTTATGCAAGCAAAATTCACAGCTTATCGTTGTGAAAAAGAGAGTAATCTACGCTCTTCAACATTTTTCTAATATTCAATAGAATAATAATATCATCTATACATATCTTAAAACAGCTAAACCGATCGGGCCTAATTTTTTTGCGGGACCTCAAATGACCTTAATTTTTATTGTTTAATTTTGCAGAAAGAGAATATGCTCACAGAAAGAGCCATAATTAAAAGTTGAAATAGTAGATAAAAGCTTAGTTCAGAATACAAGTTTTCACCTGAAATCAGATCTACAGCTGTCGTAGCTGTTACTACTTGAACTGTAATCGGAACCACGTAGGTTAGACACATCATAGGCCGGATCCATGTTCAAATCATTTCCCGCATTTTCTGGATATAGATTCACAAATTTGCAACATCGACTGCAGCATCTACGGATTTCGTAACAGCTGTTATTTTCGTGATATGATGAGCAATAGTCTTCCTTCTTTGAGCATGTCAAATGATGGTTCGAAACCCTTTTCGCACATCTTTCACAAGTCTTCGAACACTTTCGAACTTTCGAACATTTTGAGCAGTATCTAGCGTCTCTGGGTTTTTGGGAAGTCAGTCTAGGGAGACTGTTTGAACTATTATCCGAAAATTGGTATCTGGATGAACTAAAGTTTTGGTCAAAATGATGATTTGAACTATAGTTCTGATCCAGCTGGTGATTTGAACTGTAGCTTTGTTGGCAAGAACGGTTGCAACTATAATTATGATTCTTTAATTTAGTCGAATCCGAGCATGAACTTAAGCTTCGTGATTCTAAACAATAAAATTATTTATCTAAATCTTACAAAAAAAGTCAACCTTTCAATTAATCACAGAGTAGTTAATGCATAGAGGAACTATTATGAAATGTTTAGTCCTTTTAAGTCTGAAAAAAGAATTTATTTATTTTAAATGTTCACAATTTATGTACGCTTTACATAAAGACATGCAATATGTTCTCTGGCATAATCCGTTACAATTTTTTTTGAAGTTGTAAAATAAATTTTAAAAATCTGTAGGTGCACTAAAATAATTATTTGATTTAAGATTAAAATTCAAAATTAATTTTCAAGATAACCAAAAGGAGTTTCTGGCCCCATTATAGAACTGTACTATGAGAAGAACACGTGTAGTACAACAAAATGGCAGTATCACACTTTTTTGGAGTTTATAGCACTCTATTTATTATCTACTCTGTATTTCATTATTGTAACAAACTGATTAGTTAGTAAAGAAGTAAATTTCATTGTTTTCCTGAATTTTGCTGGGTTCGAATCATCTCCGTAGAGTCATTGGATGATCCGGTCAACTGCGTAGAATCGTCCAAGGATTCAATTGATTGGATGGTTCGTGAGGATTTTTTCAAGACCGATTTTATACTCTGATTTTTTGGAGAATATTTTAAAAATGTTGCGCTGTTATAGTCGTCCACTTTCAGCATAGCTTTCTCTAAAAAGATTTAAAATTTAAAAGAAACGCACTTTAAAAGTCATTTTATCTTTTACAATTATTCCTGGGTTACAACAATTAAAATTTCAGACCTTGAAAGCCCTTAATGGATTCTTTTCTCCTTTTCCCAGTTTTAACAAATGGTTCCTTGCACATGTACTTTTCCGTGAAAATATTTAAAGTTTTACTTTTAAGTTTTTTTGTTTTGTTGGAAACTATATAAGCTTTAAGATTGAAGCCAAATCATAATAAATATTTACCTAAGTCTTGGTTTGTAAGTCCCAAAAATCTTTCCAGATTTTTCCGCCTTTAAAAATCATTCTTATTTGTTTGTTTTTTCATTTTTAAAATTAATATGAAAATATATCTATTTTTAATTTTCACAATTTTTAAATCAAATTACAAAGTTGAAATAAGCCTTCACATGTTGCCACAAAATATATTCCAACATTTAAAATATAAGTTACAGTAAATAACATCTTTCTTTGATCTTTCAGATTAGAATTCCTTTACAACAGAATAATTGATTTAACATATTGGATTTAGGATTCCGATGCAATCTTTCTCATCATTCAATTTTAAACATTTTGGGATTTGTTTTGAAAAAATTAAATTGATAAAATTTGAATGTTTTTCCTTGGTTGATCTGGGGGTAAGCGGCTGTCAGTCCCGGGTTCTGAAATATTAATCAATGTTTTTCCACAAAAAAATGTTTTTTACTAAATTACCCCGAGTTTAATTTGAAAACCTACGCAAAATACATTCAGACGCCATTGTTTTAATTGCATTTTGACGCGCGCACTACCGCGGTTAATTCAAAATGTCCGCTTAAACGGAAGTGCAAATCCAAGAAAATTTCAAATATGTAAAATATTTTTGTCTGTATGTGTGCAAAAGTGTGTGTTTGTGTTAATGAATGATCGTGGTAGATGGAAGGTAGAGATGCTTCGTTTTGTTATTTATTATCAAATTTCGTCATGGCTACCATGTTACTGCTGTTCTAGGTGTTGATACCAAGGTTAAAAGGTGAGTGGGGGGGGGGAGGGGAGAAGGAACAAAATTCCATTTGGTTTGTATAATAAGTTTGCACCAATAATCAGAAACTTAGTGACGCTTTAAATTTAAATTTTGAAATCGCCGAATCAAAATTTCTAATGGCAAAATCTGCTGGAATTTTCTAGAGGTTTGTTAAAATTAATTTTTAGCGAACAAATTTTTTATTGTATTAATGTGTCAATGCTTTTTATAATATGTGTTTTTTCAGGGCAAATATATTCATATTTATTGGACAACATGTATTAAACTAGTAAATTTTACTTGTCTACTATTTTGGCTAATGGCGTATTATGTTTATGTTTACTAAAGATATCTACTTTATTGGTCTACAAAAAGTACAAAATATAATTTGTACTTGGATTAAAAATGTGCCAGAAAACACCAGCTGTGACTGTGCAATCTAATGGAGGATGAATTAGATAATCAGGTCTTTAATCAACCAATCAATCAGTCGTTGACGTGCAGTCCATCCAACAAAAATTTCGTGACGTAGGAATCTAAAATAGGCTAAAAAGATTGGCAATACAAGGAGAAAAACGAAGAAGATAAAGAAGTGAGTGAGTCAAATAATAATAATAAAAATCAAAGGTTAACATCATCAGGTTGCAAAGATATAGGGATTTGAAAACTCAGTCCTCTGTGGCTAAAACTCAGTCCCTTATAAATATTTATTTAGAGAATAAAAAAAGATTGAAAAAGTAAGACATAGACAAAACTGCTTGTAAAATAATTGATCAAACTGCAGTAAACAATACAGAAAAAATGTAAAGAAACCAAAAAATGTATATGAAAAGAAAAGAAAAATAATAGATTAAATGAAAAAAGTAGATTGAAACAAAAAAAGCTGCACATGTGAAATGTAAAGTGGTGGAGGGGGGCAATCACGAAAAAAAGTAGAAAAAGGTTTCTGTGTAGGTATGTGAAATCAATCAATCACTGTAAAGAAGAAAACTTTTCCGAATTAGAGTTTGGAACGCCACAAAGCAAGTGAGGAATCACGACCTGTAAATAATTGCACGATCAGGTTTTTACTATTCAAACAGCTAAATCAAATTGACAATGTTGTCTTGATTTGACTCCTTTTATGGCTTTTATTCGTGTTTTTAATCGAAAAAACTGTCGAATGGAAAATAGAAAATAAAGTTTTTGTTCAATTCGTTTGACTCTGTATTCACCCCCGATTCCTTTCTGCAAATTATTTTCAATTTCTTTTGCATCCAGCAAATCTTTTTTTTCAGGTTTTGTTGATAGTTTAAAGGAACTGAATAATTTCGCCTTTTTTCTAATTTTCTAATGGTTATCCCAAAAAACATGGGAATTCAGTGACGAATTCGATATTGTTTTTGTTATGAATTAGCATTGTAATACCTCATTTCAACAGCCATAATATAATTATGTCTACTAGAGTTTTTTTTTATGAAAAGGGTAAAAGACTGCAAAGGTGTGTCTATAATGTCTCCGCAAGGTGAACAGTGAAGACGGACAAGTTTACTCTGTTTGTATACTGTAATTTGCTTGTTTTACTAAGTACAACCGTATGCAGTCAAACAAAATGTGAACATAGCAGACGAAACTCTGCAGCTTTCTCAGTAGGTATCACTATACTAAATCAAAGAATTATTTAAAAAGACGATATCGAATTCGTCACTGAATTCCCACGTTTATTGAGACACCCTGTATTAGATCTTATGTGATTAAGTGGTCAAACATGAATCACTGTCCAGCAATATGCTTTCTTGAAAAGCAATAAAAGTCTAAAAAACGGGGAATGAGCCTAAACACTTCTTTGTACTCGGATTTTCAAGATTGAAACAAATTTAAAAATATACGTACAATTTCCGATTCAATAAGCCAAATTTTAGGCTTATAGATACAAAAATGACAATTTTATTTGCTCCAACTAGAGTGAGTAAATTTGGTAAAAATAAAATAATCTTCGTTTGCACAATTTTGTATTTATTGGTCTACAGACTTGTTTGTAATCGGATTTTCAAGATTGAGACCATGTTTATTATCTAATTACAGTTTGTGCTAACGGATATTATCTTTATTTTTACCAAATCTACTCACTCCAGTTAAAAACTTTTAGGATCTTCTAAAATTGTTGTTTATAAAACTACAAGTCTAAAATTTGGTGCATTGAATCAGAAAATGCAAGTAGATTTAAAATGGTCTCGATCTTGAATATCCAATCACAAAGGAGTCTGTAGACCCTTATTTCCCATTTTTTATACACCCTGTATATATATATAAATAAACAATATAACATGCTATAGACTTATTTTAAGATAATATATATATATATACTTATGTATATGTGTATTGTGAATTCAACACAATAATCGATTTTTCATCAAAATATTTCTAATGAAAACTTTGTAGAGAAGTTTTTAACAGAAAAATTTTCATAAATGTTTTATAGATTAAACCGTGCTGTCTATCTTTTTATCCTCACCTAGATGATAATGATTGATTGATTGATTCTGGGATTGCGGATCAGTATCTAGGTTTAAGTTTGACTCTTTTTCCGATATATCCGGAGAGAGGGGGAGAATAAATACGTCCTTGGACAGGTTTTCAGGACTGTCAGAGGGTTCAGACTCATCTGGCTTGATCACTAATCCATCCAAGGATTCGGAAGGAGTTTCAATTCCAAGATATTTAAACAAGTTCTTCTTATTAGTTCTTTCCACTATGGAGACATCATTTCTTTTGCGATCTAGAAAACAAGATATCATAAAACAAATCAGTTATAAGATCTAAAAATATCATAAAACAAATCAGTTATAAGATCTAAACATTTTCCTCCTGAATCCGTCCATCTTTTAATTTTACAAATATATATTCAATATTATGATTTATACAATTTTTCGTAAAACATATATATATTACATTTTTACAAGTAAGACCCATAAAACTATAGAATAAGAAGACGACATTTGTATTTTAACGAATGCATGGAACAGTATAGCTAGATATTAATAAAAAATATTTAAAGTTCAGATTAAAAAATACTTGAATAAATTAAATCATACGGTGAGACCCAAACATCTGTGGAACAGGAAAATGATATTTTAGTTATCCTGTGCTACTAGGGAAAAAATAGTTTTACCAGTAGTTTGAGTATCTGCAAGTTATTAATTGAATTAGGATCTTGTAATTTATGTGTTTCATGTTTAGTGAACTATTTAGTTTAGTGAACAGTCATGTTTCTATTCCATATTTTCATAGGTCCTTGCATCAAAATATGCTTTTCTTAGCTTACTTTACCTATCTATCTATCTTTCTATCAACCTAACTATATCTACCTATCTATCAATCTATCTATCTTTCTCTCTATCCCATTTGCGGACGCATGACAACAACCTGGAGCTAAAGTTGATTGTCTCAATTTTCCATTTATTCACAAACTCCATCTTTTTAACAACCCAACTTGATTGCAGGTCTTCGATTTCCATACAAAAAATATAATTACATAGTTGCAAATGCGCGGCGCTTCAAATAACTAAAGTTACGATGCGCGCTAATAGCTAAAAATTTAGCTAAATTGCGCAAAGTTAACAGTTTACAAATGTTTAATGATAATTTTTCATAATTGAATAGATTTTGTGTAAAGAACATTTTGCAGATATAAACCAAAAATGGCCTGGGGGGAGGGGTTCTGAATCTTTACAATAAAAGCTACATATTATATACCTATACAACTAGTTTGCTTGAAGTTTGCATCAAATAAACGCCGAAACTGTTAAACTGTTCGGGCCCAAATTTATTGTTAACTTCACATGATCCCAGGGAATGTTTATGGATAATTAGAATTGAAAAAATTGCCTTAAAAGATTTTGGTTTTTCAAAATCCACGAAAGTGAAACTAGAAAAAAGACCAACAATTAAAAATAAAAATAGAAGATGAAGCCTAGTAATATATAAAAGAGTTTTATTAAAAAGTTTTTTTTTATTTCCTAAATTTTTAAAAAGTATACAATACGAAATATTTTTTATGAGTTTTAAGCATATTTATAAAGTCTGTTTGCAAAAAAAAATTGGACTGACTGTTTTAAAAACACTCCAAAAATAAATAGCTATCAAAGATCAAAGAAAATATTTTAATCATTTCTCTTTCGCCAATCGTCGTCTTTATTACGACACCCTGTAGCTAGTTTTAATGAGATATTTATGCTTACTGAACTCAAGACAGGACAGGATAAAAAATGATATCTAAACATTAAGATGGAACGAGGTTGAAACAAATTTGGGAGAGATAAGGGATCATAAATTCTAAAACAGGGGTTTGGTTAAAGTAATAAAATGTAAATAAATGTTTAAAGGAATTGTATCCCCCATTTAAAGAGTTGAATGCCCGATTCACAACGGTAACATTTAACCAATTTACTTTATTTGTCTATGCTGCAAGAAACCGTATTTAAAAAACATTAATTTCCAGAAAGAACAACAATGAAAATTTTTACATTTTTTCTCAGATAATCATTTTAGGCGGTATCATTGTGATCTGAACCTGACATTACAAATTTTAAGAATATTAAATTTCGAACAAATTCATCTTTTGATAAACTTTGAACAACTTTCAAAACGTGATATGACATTTTTCTTGAAACCCTGTTATCTGTAATCTGCATACATAATCCAATAATTCTAGATTAGTATTAATCATAACAGAATCAATTTCACGCCAGCTCAGTGGTTCAGCCCATGGTGCCTTAGTTTGCAGTATCGCTTCCTGTGAGGGTTGTAGTAGAACCCATGGTTGTTAATTTTAAATATGATTTCAAAGGTTGAAAGAATAAATTTAATGTCTGCCATTTTCGCAGGTTTGGCATTCAATTAAAGTTATGATCAAATTAAAATCTGTTTTTTCAAACTGTCAGAAAGCGCCAATTGCGATGAAGGGTCATATCTAGAGATTGACATAATTTTTGCTTTGTTTTAAATAATAGATTTACTTAAAGATGATAAACACGTAATAGACTTTTATTGAAATTTGACTGTGTACAATTTACATTGACCACAGATATTAACCAAAACAATTTATTAAAACGATTAAACGACCCGCTTAGTTTTTTTTCGTTCAGGCCTTTTAGTCATATGAGATCGCATATTCTTGTTAGGTCAACTAACCTTTTAATAATGTTAAAAAAGCATGCCCATCACTGGCCAGTGGTCACTCATATGTATTTTTTCAAATGAAAAAAATACCATCAATTAAGAAATCGCACACTAATAAGCGATGTATTGAGTGTATATTTTGATTAATTTCCCTCCATGCTCCAAACACTGTGTTATTACTGTAAACAGAGGAACAGACAATCCTTCCTTGGCATGAATTATACATCCATTTTTTTAAATGATCATTTTCAATTTTATTTTTTGTACAAAAGTGAATTAAGCTTTTTAGCAAATATGCAAACATTTTTGCAAAATTTTAAATAACCTGATTTTTAATCAAGAAAAACTAAAAAAGTGCAAATTTCCTTTGACAGGTTGTTTGCAAAAAATTTGCAATTTTTTTTTCGCAAAACTTGTGCAATCCGTTTCCTTATCAAAATCTGACAAGTGGAAGTGTGTCAAAACAAAGATTTAGTTTGCTACAGGCAAAAGCAGTCATTCAGGCAGTGTGCCTGAGGACTCAGGCAGTTAGTATTAAAGCCCGGTTTTAGGTTATGCATTTTTTTCCACCCTTCTTAGGGGGTGCCAAACGCCCTATCCCTAGCCTATACATAGATTTAGACCCCCCAGCCTTTATAGGGTTAAATAATAACTTTTAAATAGGTCTGTATACACTACAGTACAGTATTCATTACGTAATAGGCATGTAAGAAAAGTCAGAAAATTTCAACAGCCTCAGACCAATACTTTTTGAGTTATGTAAAAAAACTACAGGGGGGGGGGGTCAAATTGACCCCCCCCCCAGCGGGAATAGGGTTAAAACTAGAAAAACGACGTTATCTTCCATATTATTGATTTGACGATGTGGCTTAGCGATATTTATCGAACTGAATTTCAAGCCGTATAATCGTGTTCCATCACACCATGACTGTTTAAGTGAATGCAAAAACTGGGATGACTTGATTACAAATATAATTAATAGGCTGTCATTCACTCTTCAATCATTTTGTAATTATCAATATAAAACCTTGATCTACGATCTCTTAGCTGGTGTTATTATTATTTTGGCCATAAAAGTCAGGTTTAAGAAAAAAGAGTTTTTAATATCCTAAACTTCTTTTAAAGACCATTATGAAAATGTTAAATTGACATAACTATGATTTGACAAAGAAAAGATTGAGAATTTACTCTACAAGTAATAACGACTAATCCAAGAAAAAATTAATACATACATTTATACATAATGCGTCTTAAAAATGTTGTTCTTCATGATTAACCCTGTACCCTTGGTGTATAAAAAAACTTATGAATTTTTATTCATATCCGAATATTCTAATTCTTTTATCTTTAATGCAACTGATTACTTACAAATGAAATATAAAAAAGATTTAAAACATTAGGTTGCAAAATATAGGGATTAAAAAATTTAAGTTAGTGGCTGTACTATCAAAGTTGTTCTGAATAGAAAATTAGAGGCGGTAAAAAGTCTTAACGTCCTAAAAATAATTTTTGTGCAAAGGAAAAATTAGCAGCAAGTAAAAAAGTTCTTAAACTGGCCGTTTGAAAACTATCTAGCTAAAAATTCTGTTGCATAATAAGTTATCTTAATCACAGGATTAACAAATAACTGTTTTTTTTTTCAGTGTAATTTATAATATTTCTGTTCTCCCTCCGCCACAATTTTAATAAAACCACAATGTCTATGTATCAAAAAAAAAATTAAATTGCTTGCAAATATTTGACTGTTTGTTAATGTTTGGTTGAAAATAACACTGCTGGTGGGGCCGGGGNGTTAACACCAACAATCATCTTCCCACCTAGAAATATTTTAAAAATGTTTCTTCAACTATTTCCGAATTCCTGGAATCAACTTTTTACACGATCAATAGTTGACAATAAATCATGCTTTGATTCTTCCACATTGTTGAATTGAAAACAATGGTGGGACAATCCGAATTTAAGCAAAAATTTAGTTTTGAAATTAAAACAAAGAAAAGCGTTTTGTTTTGATGCACAAATTCGTATTAAATAGATATAGGAAATTCTGTCCGAACACTAAATATTAAAAACAGTTTCTAGTATCACAGTGAAGGTTTCATTTTTGTAAGAAATATATCTAAAGATTTTGTAAATAAAGAAACAGTACAGTTGTAAGAAAGTGTACAGTTGCAGAGAACGTAAGAAAAAATGCTGAGTAAATCCACAAAGTCGTCACTTAAGTATCATCATGTTTAGGTAACCCTTATTTAAAAAAGATCTAAAGATGCTTTATTCTTATCGTTTTCCCATCAATTTTCCCATTGTTGCTTTGCAAAAAATCTTTTTATAGATATTATTTGATTTTGTATCCTTACCTGTCTCTTCTTCAGGAATTTCTTCATATAGAATATCGTTCTTCTCAGTTTCTTCGTCATTTTCATTTTCCTGCTCATCATGATCACTATCAGACTCATCTATCTCTTTTCTTTCTAATTCTTCTTTCTTGTTTACACTTCCATTCAACTTTCTTCTGTTCCGAGCATTTTCGCAATTTTTCTTTCTTTCTTTTCTTGAATTTCTTCCTTGGTCGTCATTTATCTTATCATTATCCATTCTTTCCAATGTATCATTCATATCCCAGTTTTCAATCTCCTTTCTCCATTTTCCCATCTTCTTCTCACCATCTCCCCCTCTCCCCTCGGTTTTTTCCCTTCCCCCACCATCTCGTATATCCGTGACCCTTTTATCTCTCCCATCTCTAGAAGCATCTTTAGCAGCATCTTTACCACAATCTCTGTCTGGGTTTAGACGTAGACGTAATCCATCCCTGGATAGATATATAGACAGATAGATATATATAGATAGATAGATAGATAGATAGATAGATAGACAGATAGATAGATAGATAAATAGATAAATAGATAAATAGATACATATTTGAATGGTCTGTTTATTTGATGGTTATAAATCAAAAATAAGAACACTAAGATACAACAAGATTAAGAAAATGTTTATTATAAACAAGATTAAGAAATACTAAGAAAACTATCTAAAACTATTTTAACAAGATGAAAACAATATTTAGAACAAGATTAAGAAAATATTTAAAACAAGATCAAGAAAATGTTTGGAATAAGATCAAGGGTAAATGTTTAGAACAAGATTAAGGGTAAATGTTTAAAACAAGATCAAGAAAATGTTTAAAATAAGATCAAGAGCATTTTTAGAACAATTAATCAAGGATAAATGCTCAAAAGAAGAGCAAGAAAATGTTCAAAGCAAGATCGAAAACATATTAGACCAAGATCAAGAGAATGTTTAGAATAAAACTAAGATCAAGACGAAGAAAATGTCGATGAAGTCTAGAACTAACCTGGCAAGAATAACAAGGTTTTGCTGAGGTGCTGAACAGTCTACTTGTGAAACCCATATAGAAACCTTGTTCGAAACTGACGAACTTTGAATTGAACTGAACAAAATTTAAATCTACTTAAAGGGACTGTAGACCTAATTTCAAGTGATCCTCCATTTAAAGAGTTGCATTTACGATTCACAACCGTATTCTTTAAAACTTTGTTAGATTAATTTAACATGTTATTAACTTTAAAAAATACTTCAGAAACAATGTAGAAAAATCGGGTTTATTTATCCTCTTTACCTCATTCCGATTTTCTGATTGTTGCAAATCGGGAATGTTCCACTTTAAAGGAAAGGTCACTTACAGTTACAACAAATAAGTCCGAATTTAATGAACTTGAGCCGCGTCTTAAATCCGGTTCAATTGAGCGTCGGCTCATATTTGAGCTGCGGCTCCAATTATTTAAATGCATGCCTCAGTTCTTTTAAAAAATATTATAATTTACAAATTTGACCGAACAATCAACTTGTTAAAAATATCACCTGAAATATTTTGAATTTTTAAAGCTTGAAATCAATTCATCTTTTTCAATTTTTTCAGAATCATTTTTACTCTCATCATCCTTCTTTTGGCTTTCATTACTTTCTTTTTTCTTTTCTTCATTTCGGTCCAGGAATTCTGGGTCTAAATAAATAAAATATGAAGCTTTTTTTCTCGTCTTTTATAACCCCTAGATATGACCAAGAGTATGCTAATACATTTTCAATTTGCAATGTACTGTACATAGACCAAGTTGAATGTCCAGCTATCGGTAAAACTTTTTTGTTTATGCAATCAAATTCACTATCCATAGGTAGCAAAACTGTTCTCTTCCTATTCCCAAGTTTTATGGATCTCACATTACATTCACATCGTATTTCAAATTTAAATATGTGAGACATATGTCGTAGCTTTAAAATTAGAAAAGAAGAAACCACTTGATTTTATTTGGCACGATGCTCTGGAAAGAGAATTAAGAAAGTCTCCTTAAACCCCGGAACTTAAAAAATCCTCGGAATTTTCTGAATAGGAATTAATTACGTTGAAGTATTCAAAGGTTAAACTGTCAAGCTTTGAAACTCATGGTATGCTGATAAAATTGATAGATAGATGGATAGAAAGATATATAGATACATAAATAGATGGATAGATAGATATATAGATATATAGATAGATAGTTAGATATAGATAGTTAGATAGATAGATAGATAGATAGATAGATAGATAGATAGATAGATAGATAGATAGATAGATAGATAGATAGATAGATAGATAGATAGATAGATAGATAGATAATAGATAGATATATTATATTTATAGATAGATAGATAGATAGATAGATAGATAGATAGATAGATAGATTGATGGATAGATTGTACAGTTGCTGCCCATGACACAGAAATTTAATTAAAGTAGTTAATTTCTGTTAGTTTGAAGTTAAAGTAAGCAAAGAAAAACAATCTTTCGGCATATTTTGATGCAAGGACCCATACAAATATGGAAAAGAAAGACAACTTGTAAGTTCAAGTTATGCTTTTTAATAGTCCAATAAACATGAAACACAGTAATTATGTAGTATAAAAGATCCCATTTCACTCAACAAGTTGAAACTCAAGCTACTGGTAAAAATATTTGTTTACTCGCTGAGTTTTAGATATTTTTTATTGACATTTAGCGATACTGTTTTATGCATTCGTTGTAGTCTTTTTTTACCTAATTTTTTTGGATTCAAGTATATTTTAATCTACATGGGTTTTCTGGAGTTTTTTAATAACATTTAGCGATACCGTTTCATTAACTTATTAATATCAAAACTTTTGTGTCATCCACAACACTTAATCTCATTGATATCTAAATAACTCTAACGGTTTATCAAATTTTAAATAACGTTAAATGTCGCAACGCCTTGTCTTTTGGTTTTACCACAATAACTCACTTTTAATTTTTGCAGCACTGACATATACATTTAAAAAATGAAACGCGCTTTTTTCTAGCTTATGTTTCATAAAAGTAATTTACAAAATACTGCTCGAGTAAACATTTTTAAAGATGAGTAAATTTTGAGTCCTCAATTTTAGTTAACTATGCTGGATTCAGACCATGGGGACTTAAAAAATCAACTTCATCCTCAGGCAGAGAAAAAAAACGGATAACTGCTTATACTACAGACTAACAATCTGACTGGATTATAAATGTGTGGCTTTTAACGCCGTATTTGCAACATATATGTCCCCATTAATCAATCAGTATGCAGTGTCTTCAGTGCATTAGGCTGCAGCATCAAGAATTAAAAACATTCACAAAGACATTTTTGTTTTCAAAATCAATTTTTTAAAATAAAAAAAAATTTAAGGTTTGTCAAAAATACGCAAACATTTAGCATAATTTACGAATTCCGAAGAATTACAAGGTATGCATTCAGAAATAACAAAATAAAAACATTTTGAAGAATTTTCAATTTTTTTATTTCTTTTTGTAAATTTTCTCAAACATCTAAACTTTACATTCAAGCAATTCAATCAATGATTTACTTTTTAGCAATTTCTATTCAGTCATTTTTTCTTTTATTCTTCTTATTATTATATCCCCTACGTTCTTTATGCGCTTAACCCCCTTTTTGCTTTTCTATTCCGCTCTCCCCATTACCTCTCCTAACAACCTCCCCACCACCAAACCCCAAATATAAAACTCAACCTCAAGGAATGATTTGTTTTACCATCGTATAAACTGAATTGGTGGAGCAATATCAATTTTCAGATTCCAAGAAAACAAACTTTAAATTATGAGAAATGCATATTTTTGTTGACATTGAACAAAGTATGACTTTGAGTATAGCAAAAAGTTTTGTAATATTTGCTTCTATATATAAATTTGGCTTGTCTGTCTGGGTGTCTGTTTGTCTGTTTGTATCCAATAAACGTCAAAACGGCTGAACCCATCGGGCCCAAATTTTTTGTGGGACATCTAGGGACTCCAGGGAAGGTTTATGAATGATTTTAAATATTTGTCTCCATCAAAATTCGATCGTCATTAAATTTTTTAAATTTTTGAAAATCCGCGAAATTTTTTGTGAAAATCCGCGAATTATTTTTGTTTTGTTTTACGATGTACACAAAGAGAACATGTTCACAATTACTTTAGGAGATGGGCGCGAAGCGCCCTCTAAGGCTAGAAAGAAGGGCGCGAAGCGCCTTGAATTTCTAGTATATTTATAAAAAACTTTTGCCTTTTTTATAACAGGATTCAAAATATGCAAAAATATATCAGCATTTTACCAATTACTCAGTTTGTACTAAACTAAGCCACAACAAGCTTGTTTTAGTTCCAAAAGTTAAAACACAAAATATGTATTGCTTGCATTTTCAATATTTTTAGATATATGTAGACAAAATGAACTTGAGAAACCTGCACATTCGTTTTTATTATAACTGCTTACCTAGATCCACTTGAACTTCTTGATCGACGCCTCCTTTCATTCCACCACCTTTATCGTCATCATTATAATCGTTATCATTATTATCATTATCATCATAATTTTCAAAATTTGTCCATCATCAGAATCTTCATTACTCTCCACAAAAGAATCTTTCATGGATTTAAACAGAAGATTTGATCTGAATCATAATTTATAAACAACTAGCTCACGTGAATGTAGGTTTCGTCGAAAAAAAAGTTTTGATTAAAAATTTTTTGGGAACTAATCCCTCTTCTCTTTAAACAAGATTAACGTTTGAAGTTAATTGTCATGAATATTCTATTATCTCTAAAGTACCCCTACAAAGTATTTCAAATTGACCAATTTATGGAAAAGAGTCATTTTCCAAAAATAAATAGTTTTTTTAAATTCATTACAACCATTACAAACCATTTTTGGGCCGAATTAAAAGAATTTTGAGACTTTTGAAAATGATTATTCGCTTTGGTTGCAGTTTTTATTTCATAACAAAGGAATTGAGTATTTGCCACAAACTCTGGTTTTTAAATCCTTATATATTAACAACCCAATGTTGTTGACCTTAGATATTTCAAACTATGACTTCTGTTATATCAAACAATCAAAGTTTGAAATATCTAAGGTTTACATAGTTTGGTTGTAGATATATAGGTATTAGAAAATTTGGATTTGTTGCAAAGACTCAATTCCTTTTTAAAAAAGGAACTAAAAAGCATATATCCTGGGCCTAGATTTAATGAATAGCGATAAGGAGTTAAACTACGCAGACGAAGTAAAATTACTTCTCTTGTTTGCCAGTTCTAGTTGGAGAGAAGTGGTTCAGCTACGGATACGTGGTTTAGATACTCCTCATCAAATGTTAACTTCTATTCCTTAACTTTGGTCTATGATGAGTTTAAAAATTCAATTTTTGTGCGACTTTTGATTTTGAAAAATGACGATTCCTGTGTTTTCATGAATTCATTCATTTCTGGTTTTCAGCCCACATGGTAAATTCGATTTTCAGCCCATCTACACAATGTAGAATACTAAAACAATAGTTTAATGGAGCCTCCTGTTCGTAACTTTGAAATGCTTATGTTACGAACAAACATAAACTGATAGATATTGGATATTTCTTAAACTCCTACTGATCAATGTAATCAATGTACATTCAATGATTTAATGTTAATTCCATAAGATACAAAAAATACAAAATTCACCTAAAACAAAAAAAAAATACTGCTACAATAAATATTTTTAAATCTTTTGACACATCTCGCCCTGGGTTTTTAGAATTCTACAGAGTTGGTAATAGGCCTAATTTTATCTAATTTAAAGGGAATGTAGGCCTAATTTTAACTGATATTCAATTTAAAAATTGAAAAAAGAGGCATGTCTGATTCCCAATGGTACCCTTGCCAACCGAATCTTCTCAATAATGTGGACGATAACGCCGTTTTTTAGCTTAAAAAAATGTAAGATTCTGTTAATTGCTCCAGTGCTACTAAATCAATTTTACAGAGAAACCACAAATGAAAATAAAGAATTCATAAAATCAATAATATGGATATTTAATTATTTTTTATTACACAACGCTTTTAGAAGTAACGTTATGAATCGGACACAGCACTTTATCAATGAAGGGTTATACTTTAAATTGCGCTTACAGTCCCTTTAAGTAACTGTCAAACGTTGTTATTGCCAACTGATGTCGTAGACTAAAGTCATTCTGTCAGATCAAATAGTAAAACTTTATAATAGCTAATGTTTAAACAATCAGGTTCCTTTTTTTCTGAAATGTAAAACTGAAATATACCCATAAAAAAGAGTTTAAATGCCTCCCTTTTTAAGAGAAAATATTTTGCCAAAAATTAAAAAACGTCCCTACTAGCAAAGATTCTACTATTAAAGTATAGTTTCCATGGAAACTGTGGAACAGAATGACGACTTTTAGACTTAAGTAAGGATTCTTAATAGTCCAATGAACATCAATTGTGCAGTTAACACAGGCCCTTTTTACAAAATAAGTTGATTATCAACCTACTGGTAAAACTATTTGCTTTATAACAACATCTACTATACTAAAGATTGCTTGAATGTCGTATTCATATTCCACAGCTTTAATTGCTCCCACCCAGCCCAAATAAATATTTTTATTACATTCTTATGCACTTTTATTGCAGATTTAAGATCCGATTTTGAGCGCTCAATTTGCAATAAACATATAAATGATTAAGATTTCAGATGTGTATCTTTTGTAATTACACATTAATTCTTTTCATCGTTGAAATACATTTGATATTGACTTGAAGGTAATTTTGAAAATTCATCGACGATTTACAGAAGTTCTTGAACAAGATTTTACATCTTTGAAACAAAATTCGACAATATCTCCCTAGTCTTTGCTGTAATGATCCACAAATCTCAATCTAGAAAAGCTTTGAGTCATGAAGTAAACCCCCCGCCCCTCACCCCGTACGCTTGATTAAAAAAGTCTAAGGATTATGTTTCATTTACAAAACTTTTAATTAAATTAAGGCGTGAACTTTTTATAGATTAAAAAAAGCTAAAACCCAGCCAAAACAAATTTAAAATGTATTCCAGGCTTTAGTTTTCTTCAATAGATTGATGAATTCTGTAAATGTGTTGGAAAATTGGAAATTCATATTAAAAACACATTTACATCAAAAGTTCTAAAATTTATATTATAACATAAGTACTTCTTAGCTTTTTCTTTGTAAAAGCTGTTTTTAGTATCTCAATCAAATCTAATTTTACTATTAATATTCTATATAGTTAATGATATTTAAGTTCTTGTATTTGATTAGATAATTTATTCTATATGTTCCTGATATCTACAGGATACAGGATACTACTCTCATATTCTCATATATCCTACTTAAATATGCTAATTCATATTCATAACAATACTGCATCTGTTAAATACAAGAAATCTGAAATATTCAAACAATTTTATTTTAAATATCTTAAAGTGGGAAATCATTTTTAAGCAAAGAAAAAAAGAAATAAAAAATTAAACGTTCTGGAAAAAATCTAGATTTTTTTAGGAAAATTAATGTTACATTTTTTTAAAATTCATTTATCTTTTATCTGTTTCTTCACTGCAAATATTCAAATCTATTTCAAATCATGAATTTAGGATTGTCAAAAGTTCACATAAATCCAACGTCACTAATATTGTTGCAAATGTTTACGCGCGTAGATCCATACGCACGCTATGGTTCGTGGATGCGCCACGACTGAGAGAATAGGCCTTTAATGCACGTTGAATCCCGGTTCATCTTCATCATAGACAGAGGTGCGTTTTCAGAGGGGATAGGGGGGGATGAGGGAAGCTATGGGATTAAAGATTGAAGAGGGGAGGATATTCATTAAGGGGGTTTTAATTTGAATGGAGTTAAGATTGAGGGAAGGGGGAGTTTTTTTCAGGAGTTTAATATTAAGGGGGATTTAAATTGACAGCTAAGTGGAGGGCGGTGCAGGAGTTCAACAGTACCGGAAGGGGGGGGGGTCCTCATGCAGTTTTTAAGATATGAATTTTTTGGGGGTTAGGGGTTCAATTTAGCACTTCAGGGGGCTCCATAAGTTATAAGTTAAAGATAAGTAAGACTCAAAACAGGATATTTCACGAATACACAAAGAATGATTTGGCCTATTAGGGTCTGTATTAAAAACAGCATTATTTTGCAACGGTTCGAGTTTATGTAATTGACTTCATGAAATTTGCAAACCCAGTTCTGTTTATCATCATTTACTTCAGAATCTTCCTAATTGCATAAGATGATAAAACGTGTAAACAAACCCTAATATATAATGTTTAATGTTTTGACAAGTAATCAAGTTTTACAAGTTTTGTCTTACATCGAACATGAATAATTGTAGATTGCATTAAGTGAATCATCAGTTGGTATATTGCAATCATAGTGTTTTTTTTACCAAGTGTTGAAAAACATTTTTTACTATAATCTTTATCTAAGCTAAAGTGAAATCTCATGCTTTTAGTCATAACTTCTCTTATTGAGGAGGTGTTGAGAAGAACAAAATTAATTTATTTAAAAATTATAATATTTGATTGGGTAAACATACTTTTTTCATGTTTTATTATCATAACTAGATAAGCTACGAGGTCACAAAGTCGTACCAGTTATGTCTCATTAATTCTTTTTAACTTTTAACTTCTTTTTTGTCTAGTTCGGAGTGCTATATATATTCGACTTGTCTAGTTCGGAGTGCTATATATTCGACTTGTCTAGTTCGGAGTGCTATATATTCGACTTGTCTAGTTCGGAGTGCTATATATTCGACTTGTCTAGTTCGGAGTGCTATATATTCGACTTGTCTAGTTCGGAATGCTATATATTGGACTTGTCTAGTTCGGAGTGCTATATATATTCGACTTGTCTGTATGTTTATTAGTTAATCCACGTTAAATCAATTAAACTCGTAATAACCATGAACAGTTTTTTGGCAGGTCAAAAGAGGAAAAATTGTTTCTAAAAATTTTGATTTTTAAATATCTTTGAGTCCGTTTTACTTATATTTTGCAAACCACACAAATAAGATTTATTTCTAAGATTAACGAATGTGGAATCCACCGACCTATACAAATTGTAAATGATCTTGTTAGTGTACAACAAGGATCAATACTTGGACCGGAGATAAACTGCTGACCCTAGTTTTATGAGAACACGTAATCTGATTAGAACTATTCTCATTCGTAAGTATATAGGGCGCAGTTTAGCTAACAGTAACACTGCTATACATCAAGCAGGGGCTTATACAGCGTTTATTCTAGAGGGTGCAGTGGAGGGGCTGCAGTTACATAAGTTATACAAACATATAAATAATGGCAAAAAAAGAAACATCTGGAGAAAAGAGCATTGCCCCCCCCCCCATCACCACATTACCCGATCTTTTCTAATTCAAAAGATGCGCTGAGATTGAACATTTTTTTAAAGCCTGTTTAATGCTTAGTTTGTAGAACCATGACATGTTTTTTATCTCAATTGAATGAAAAATGTGAAAAAAATGTTATGTAATTTTGCTGTCTTGTATCAAAGATCTCACAACTTGCCTGAAATTGAATAATCGACAGTGTTAAGGAAATTTAGTTTGACATTAGAAAAATATTCAGGTTTTACTTATAATGCTAGAGTTAAGACTATTTGTATTTATTTTCCTGACCAGCATATGTTTGTAAAAAGTAGAGGGAGTGACAGCAATTATCAAAAGTGTCAAAAAAAGGAATTTCCCAAATGCCTGGGTATCTGGCAAATTTCTCAAATACCTACAGATATTTAATGGTGGTACATTTTTAAGATTTTGGAAATTTCTCAAATGACTGGAAATTTCCCAGATACGCAGGCATTTGGGGAATTCCCCAAATACCCAGATATTTGAGAAATTTCCCAAATGCCTGGGTATCTTGGAAATTTCCCAAATGCCTGTGTATACCACCCTCAAATACCTATTGATATTTGGGGAATTTCCCAAATGCCTGGTATCTCGGAAATTTGCCAAATTCCCGGGTATCTGGGAAATTTCCAAATGTCTAGGTTTTCGGGAAATCCTCCAAATGTCCAGTCATTTGAGAAATTTCCAAAATCTTTAAAATATACCAACCTCAAATACCTAAAGGAATTTGGGAAATTTCCCAAATGCCTATTTAAAAAAAAATATAAATGCTGTTGTTTCATGAAAAAGTAAGGTATTTTAACATGGTTCGTCAGATAACTGACATAAACGGTTTGATAATCTAAAAGCACATAATCTAGCTATGCTGACCCAATTAGCCATTAGCCAAACGTAATTTCTTTAACTCCCTTCTAATGTTCCACTTCAAATTGCTTCTCGAAAATGAATCAAGAGAGGATCAATTTTTTTTCTATGCCTTCAATTCCTATATAATTTCGTTCCCTTAATTTTTACATCAAATGCGTTTTCTGAATAAAAAATACCGTATACAGTAAAGTAAGTAAATACACTTAAAAGATGTTCTTTGAAAAAAATTGTGTGTAAAATATTTAGCTTTTTTGATTTATTTCAATTTTTTACATCAAATCTACTTCAAATCCATCTTCTTCTTTCCAAGAGAAGAACAACACCTAAATAATACATTTATGGAAACATTTTTTTTATATCTTGTCGAAATTTTTACTTATTATTATTTGAATTTTTTTTTTAAATCACGAACGAATTTACTGATCGTATAATTTTAACAACTTTCACAATGTAATCTACATAATATAAGAATGTTTAAAAAAACATTTTAAAAAAATCTTTTGCCCGGTCAACTTTTTAAGCTGGGAGTTATAGATTTGCAACCATCATAATAACAATACTAATAATCAAAATTTAAATTTAAAAAAATTTATTACCACCAACAAAGATACCAAATCCTAGAATAAGAAGAGGAAGATACGCACTTCTTAACTATAAAATGCAACCAAAAATATAGTAAATAGTTTACTAAAAAGCGTTTTCCCTACAATTATGTTGTCAAAAGCAATTTTAAAACATTTTTTTGTGAATGGATTATACATTTTTGATTTAGATACTTTAGAACAGTAAGAACTAATGTCAAAGCTTTCAATTTGAGCTTTTTCGATAAATGCAGCTGTTTCATTTATTTTTAAATTAGATGAAAAATGTCCACTTAGGAAAATATTTTTTTTTTCAGGAGCCTTTTGTTTTAAATTTAACTGATTTTGTAATAAAAAGGGCATCATAATAATTTCAAAATATGCAATTCAATTATATTTAAAACTATTTTCTATTCAAAAGTAGATTTTAAAAGACGACTTAATTTCAAGACATTCTCCATTCAGTGGCATATCCGATTCACAACGGTATAAAATATAAATGCGCTTCTATAAAGGAGCCATAATTAAATTATTTTAGTTTTTTTACTTTGAAAATGTTAAGTTTCTCGTTCATCCATTTTATTTACAAAGGTTTAAATTGGATAACAATGTTTTGACGGATATTGTTTTTAAACATTCAAGTCGTTTATCTTTAAAAGTGCTCCATAAGAATGCAGGTTTTTTATTAAATGACAAAATTGTTGTTTTTTCGATAAGTTTGCTTTTATTACATTATGCAACATTTTTTATCAGTTCCAGTTTGATCCATATTTTGCGTAATGTAAAAGAATCAAACTTAAAATAGCGCATGCAATTTTGAAAAAGAACGGATGTAAAGCTTTTAGAGCCTTATAATTGTCAAAAACGACGCCCATCGATACCTGCATCGGTTTTAACTCATCCTCCTTAAAATTTGTTGGAAAACTGGTTCGAACTGCTTTCTGTTGTACGTCACTATAGGGTTAATTTCATCATTAATTCTTTGATCAAATTAAACATAAAAATTTGTAATTCTAGTAATTCTATATTTTTTTTATTTTTTTAATATTTTGGTTTGCTCTTTGAAAAAGAAATTCATTCGTGGTTTTCTACAACTGTAAAAAGCAAGAAAACGGCCTAAATGGGTTGCATTAAAAAACTGGAAAAGTATAAGAAAAAATATAAACCCATGCACCATTATCATTTTTAACGATTTTATTCATTTTAATGATTTGAATTCCTGAAATCCGACCAGAGCTTCTCAACCAATCCGCAGGCGACAAGCTGATTAATCGTCCTAAAAGATTTTTCTTTTTTTAGAAACTAATAATAAAATTATAATGAAAGTGATCAATAATTTGTGTACGCATGACCAATTAAGGATTGAGAATTAATTAATGAGTAGGTTCACTTTAAACCCAAGTTCAATCGTAGTTGAAGCTGACAAGTTCTCCGTAAATTTGAAAGTCTGTGAAAAAATATCTGATTTTTAAATCCCTTTGTCTTTGTAACCAGATGTCGCAGATCTTGTATATTTCAAATGAATTCAGTTAGGTCAAATAGTTTGAAATATGAAAGGTCTACACCATCAGGTTGCAAAGATGGATTAGAAAATCATTAAAGTTATAAACTTTACATTACGAGGTCCTGTTTATGAAATGCTTATAAGTCAAGGCAACTTCGTTGATAGATAACTTTTCCAAAGATTTATGTCGGCTCTACCATGTTTAGTGAAACACCCTGTACCTTGCAGATCAGTTGCGACTCATCATAAGTTCCTTGTTCAATTAACTTTATCTTATTCATAAAGAGCTTGAGTACTCTCCTTAAACTCTTGTTTTCCAATCTTTATATCTTTGCAATCTGATGTTACTAACTATTAGACATTACGAACTATGAATTTTACTAGATTCTACCCAAAGATTTAAATAACCATGCACCTTAATGGGGCATACACGTAAATATCCAAATGTTACCTCTAGGTGGCATAAATGTAGAAAATTAGAACTTAAGGCGAATGTTCTGTTCCTTTGCCTTTTTTGAAGGATTAATTGTAAAACATAAAAAGTTTACCAGTCAAAGTACGGTTTCAAAATTGACCCTTTAGCTACTAGGAATGCTGTAGGATAGCTGTCAGCTATCTGTTGGCTGTTATGAGCAGGCCAGGGGGGATGCTCATATTTCGGCTGGAATAGGACACCATTGTACTCTCCTAAGCAAAATATTCTATTAAATATCTAAATTGATTCAGCTGATATTTATGATGGAACAGGTAATATTCATGATCAGTTGATATTCATAAGCAGTTGATATGTTTATACCTGGGTTGTCATTCTTTAGTACGGTACCAATAGTGCCCACTACATTTGCTACAGTTGTCTGCCTACGATTTTTTATAGAAAACAAGTTTAAATTTTTTTAAATATTTTACAGACTTCATCTCTTCCGAAAACTTATTAAGTAAAACTTGAAATGTAAATATAAAATTAATTATTGTGAAGAAAAAAAAGAAACTTAATTCAGCTTAATTTTAGAAATGAAGTCAATTAAATTAAATCATAAACACTTTATGTAGATAAAACAGTTAAGTAAAACCCTTTTAAGGAAGGACTATCCGATTTACAACGGTACCCTTGAAACCTTTGATCACAAATGTTGAAAATAATGTCGTTTTAAGTTAGAAAAGTGTTTGGTTTTGTTTACTTTGTAGAAAACCCACAATTGAAAATAATCAGTTTTTAAAAACAAAACATGAAAACCTAAATTATACACGATAAGACTAATCTTAATCTTTTGAGGGACAGTGTGATTCTTTTTAAAAATATCCTTTATAGTATTTAATTTCAGGTCTTTTAATAAAAGATCTTTGTTCTCAAAAGTTATCTGACCTCATATCTGCTCTTTTAAGAATCTCTGCTCGGACTGGATCCAAATATTCGGATGTTTCCATCGGTATAGTGCTGAACATGTACACAGGGATATTCCTGAACAGTAAACAATATATTCCATCGGTATAGTGCTGAACATGTAGACAGGAATATTCCTGAACAATATATTCCATTGGTATTGTGCTGAACAGGGATATTCCTGAACATTACATTCCATTGGTATTGTGCTAAATATGTACACAGGGATATTCCTTAACAATATATTCCATCGGTATAGTGCTGAACATGTACACAGGGATATTCCTGAACAGTAAACAATATATTCCATCGGTATAGTGCTGAACATGTAGACAGGAATATTCCTGAACAGTAAACAATATATTCCATCGGTATAGTGCTGAACATGTACACAGGGATATTCCTGAACAGTAAACAATATATTCCATCGGTATAGTGCTGAACATGTAGACAGGAATATTCCTGAACAGTAAACAATATATTCCATCGGTATAGTGCTGAACATGTACACAGGGATATTCCTGAACAGTAAACAATATATTCCATTGGTATTGTGCTGAACATGTAGACAGGAATATTCCTGAACATTAAACAATATATTCCATTGGTATTGTGCTGAACATGTACACAGGGATATTCCTGAACAATATATTCCATTGTTATTGTGCTGAACAGGGATATTCCTGAACAATATATTCCATTGGTATTGTGCTGAACATGTACACAGGGATATTCCTGAACAATTTATTCCATTGGTACCTTTCCATTGGAAACCTAAACCGTAAATTCACGTTGGTTCAAACATAAAATGACAATTTAATTCCTCTTCAAATGTTTTCTTACGGTCATCTTCCCATTTTTCGCCATTAAATTTCGCTATATTTTCATTAGAAACTCAATACTATTACCAAGAAGCTGGAAATGTAAAACGAATAATTTGATGTAAAATGGCAAACATTACTTTGTAAATCAAGTATGGCTAACTTTAAATCGATAATAATTACAAAATGAATAAGCCATAGAATAGTTGTCAGCAAGGGTTGTCACAATCCTTAAAACGAAATACGATAAAAATACTATATATATCAGTCTAGAAAATGTCTCTTTTTGTGATTCAAAAATTGTAAATGTAATCTTCACGAAACTAGTTTAAAATAATTAAAAAAAATTTAAAAATGTTTAATTCAGAATTGTTGATTATATTAAAATTCTGCTACCCTGTATGTTTGCAACCTGTAGCACGTTAGCCCTTAAACAAAAACTGTTTTAATGAAATAAATATTTAAATTAGAAAAAAAAATGCTATTATAGGATCACAATCTTATAGCTCTGGTGTTCCTGAGCGCGAGAATGTTCAAAACTCTTTGTCTGTTGTTAAAAAAAAATCTCAGTGAATTACGAAAGTTTCATTACTTTGAACTCGTGATTCCAATGACAATCAATTATAGTGTAATTTTGCGCGGAATTGTGAAATTTCTTGCAAAAATTTATCAAAATATGCAAATTTATTTTTTTGCTATAAGACAACCATCTAGAGTTAGTTTAATCCAATACAGCCGTGCATAACTAACTAAATAATTTGGTCTGTTTATAATTAATTATTGAAGAGATGTAGTTTTACTGAATGCATAATAAGTAGTTGAACCAGTCAAATCCGGATAATCTTCTTCTTTATCATTAATAAATTTTGACCTCTTTAATATATATCGCAATTCATAAGTTCTCACCTATCTAATATCTCCTGCATGGTTTGGATTGGTTTCTCAGGAATCTGTTGAATCATACTCGCAAGCAACATACTTGTATAAAACCTGGAACAGTTATTTTTTTAAATGGACTGTTCTGCTAATTTTAAGCAACATTTTTACAGTTATATCATAATTTAGAACGGCACCTTCCTAACTTATAAGAATTCTCTTTTAATTGTGGTTTCTCTTTACTAAACTTACTTTTTTAATTTTAGCGACAAAAAATAAAATTTATTTATTTTCTACGATTTTTATCTTATTTTTACTTTAGAATCCAGCACGCAATTCTTTAAATGGAAGATACTTCAACTTGAAATTAGTTTAACAGTCTCTAAAAGCATCTTAAACGAATTATTTTTTGTTTACCAAGTCAAACTTGCCACCCAGAGGACCACCATGGTTTCTTTTACAATCTTCCAGGTCCTGTGAAATAAAAACTAAAACAAAAAACAAATGTAAAATTTTAATATCCTTTTACATATTTAGAAATACTCCTCAGAAGGCAGTGAGAGGTTTCTTGATACATTTTCCCCCAGAATCGGGTAGAAATTGTACCAAATCCCTAGCAATAACTCTAATTCCCAGGAATTTGACACTGATAATTACTGGGGGGGAAAAACTGGAAAAATTGATTAGAAATACCTTTTTAAAGCATTTCCTTTCATTTTTCAGTCGTCTTACTTCTAAAAATGTAATGCTCCTGCTCCTCCCACAAATATGACAGCAGGAGGAGAGAGAACTTTTAAATATTGCCTCTTTGAAGAATTCAAGAAAATAAGAGAGAAACATGACGCGAGAGTAGGGCAACTTCTTACATGTCTAAATTACCAGGCTTCTTAAATTCTTGCAATCTCTCTCTTCCTCTCTCTTCATTAGTACGTGTGTTTTAAATAAAGTGTTTCAAGAATAAAACAGATATTGTATGTCTCCATTTTTAACTTTAGGTAGTTTTCTAGGGGTCCAAAACTCCATAAGTTTTACTCGTTTTTTTTAAAATATTTATATAAAAAGAAAATCTTTTTTTAAGTTTCACAATACAAAAAAATCTTGCAAAACAGTATAGTACAGTAGAGCCCATGTATAAAATTTTAGAATAGGAATACAAAACTTAAACAATCTTATGTGTATTAGATTAGATTACAATTATTTCATTGGAATTTTTAAAATCATGAATTAAATCTAATTGTCGTCTTCCTTTATACAGTTTTATGGGTCCTACCTATGTACCTTAGTCCCTGCACAGTTTCTCCTCCCATGATAATAGATTTTAAATGTTCACTCAAACTGTCTAGTTTTAGACTCAGCCTTTTATCTGAACCTGCTTATACAATCATAATAAGTTAATAACATATGAATAATTGGTAGTTTTTTTATTTGCCAAACTAAAAACCATGGATATTCAAGAATAAAAACTTTTGCCATAGATAATTTTTTCAAACATATGCTAATTTGCATTTGTGTGAAACTTAACACGTTTGCCTTAATGGTTCCATTTGCTATGATTTATTTTAATTTTTTCTATTTTAATTAAATGACTGCAGACGTAATTTCAGGTAACCTTAAACTTAAGCTATCATGTCCAATTCAAAACGGTACTCTCAAAAGTTTTATCTGATTAAGAATGACAACACTTTTTGAAATTTAATTATTTTCAATTTAGGTTACATAGTATATATCTAGATTCTTATGCAAGGAAAGTTATTTCAGAGGTGTAAGCATTTTGTGTACTGCAGTGCAGTGTACCGTCTTTTTGAGGAAAAGTAAAAACAAGACGGATGTCACAGCCTGACATGGAATTAATTTTCACAAAAAAATAATCTATGAAATATTCTGGGCAGAGAAAACTATTATGTGAAGTATCAAAATTATCAAAATAAAATGCTTTTAACCTCCTCGGATACCAGACGAACACTGATGCATCTATTCTTGTTTACAAATTCCGCCCAAAGAGAACTGGCTTCAATATGTACGCAGAGTTTACGCGACCGCAATTAACTTTCCTTGCATTAGTACCTTGGTATATATCAATGAATTGTGGATTTAAGTATAAAAATATATAAAAAATTATTAATTCAAATATCTGGAATTAATATGGCAAAATTTTCTATTATAGCAATTGTAAATTAAGGCAAGACAAAAAAAGCTTATGGCTTTTGCAAACCTTAAAACAATCGACATTTAATAAATTATTCCACTTTTAATTTCAACAGGGCAGGTTTCTAAAATTCAAAAAGAAAGAATGAAAACATTTAACCCGAAATTATAGTTTAATGTTTTAATACATTTTTGTATGTTAACCTGTAGCAGTTTCTAGTATCATATCCACGAGAATAATTAAACACATAGTGGAGATGAAACCCAACCAGGAGTAGGACTAAATAATTAAACGTAATGTTTAGGTGAAACTTGAACAGATGGAGGACTGAATAATGTGCAATAATTAAACACATAGTGGAGATGAAATCCAACAAGAAGTAGGACTAAATTATTTACCCCATTGTTGAGATGAAACCCAACAAGGAATAAGACTAAATAATTAAACCTATTGTTGACAGTGTGTATCCGAACCTCGATCAGAGGAAGGGTGTCAGCAGAGCTTTCTAAGCCTTTTGAGAGAAAGGGCGGCGGGCGCTATGTGCGTTGTACTTGTATAGAAGTCTAGATAGCAAGGACAACTGAGTGGAAAGCGTGACTAATCCCGAACAAGATATAGTAATAAAGATGAATACAGAAGAAATACAGAAACTCAAAACATCAGGGATGAAGTACACGCTGATACAGGTTTTAAGGGGGAACAGAGCCTTCAATAGACTTTAAATCAAATACCATAAACTGGTTTTTCACCCTTCTCAAAAAGGAAACTGGATTACTCATGGCAGACCTCTGACAATGATAGGCAAAAGACACACTCCTCATGGTTTAAAGCGATGGGACAGCATGCTTAGCGGGTTAATTTTTCTTTAAAAAATCTGTCCACGTGGGAATACACGTTTAAAGTGAGGACTATGGTATATCCAGGGAGTAAGGACAGAGACAGAATTGAAAGAATTTTAACGCGGATCAAACATGGTTGGTTCCACTTGAAATTATAACCAGTGTTTCAAGATTTAGCAGAATAATGGTATTTTTTGTTAAACTTTTTTTTCGAATTGTCGTTTAACATTTTAATTTTTGTATGCGCGAACATTAAATAAATTTAGGATACGTTAAAATAAGTATCTTTCTACATTTTTAAGAAAAAAATTTACTTTATTTTTAAATATGCTATGATGTAATATGATTTTTTTAAATAGAAAAAAATAGCCTACCTGGAGGGGAAGAATAACCCACCAGAAACTAGTAGATGCTTCAGGTTTCCTTGTACTAAACACCCATTCCCTGAAAATTAAGAAAACTCACCTCGATAATCAATTTTTCATGTCTAAACATAAAAATGAATAAAATGCTTTAAATGAAAACTATGTGCTATGTAGATATTTTTTGTCTGTTTTGATTTAGATTTATACACGTTTATATCAATCTTTTTTGAAAGTTATAAAAAATTATAAATTGTAAAAACCGTTTGGATTTTATGATACCTGAAGGTTACAGTGCTTGTATAGTCAATCGCCTGGTTTCTGTCCTGACGTTGCCCAAATGATATTCCAGAAACATCAGCTCTAAGAATACATCAGTATTGGAATTTGATGCAACTTTTCAAAGAATCTTTATTCTATACTGGCTCCACTTTTGGGCCATTACTAATACGACTTTATGACCTTGTAACTACTCTAGTTTTGATTTTACATAGAAGCAAATTTGTTTGGTAACATATATGAAATTTAGAACTCATTTGTTCTCTTCAATAGCTGCTCATTGAGAGGAGTTTACATTCCAGAATGATTGTCGCCTTTTTGCTTTCGTTAATAGAAAACAATCTGAATTAGTGCTGCCAATCCTCTTTCTTTTCATTAGAAATATATATCCAAAAACTACTTGTTGTTGTTGCTATTAAGATATGATTGATTATCCCTCGGACAATATAAAAATTTGATTAAAAATATAACCACACAGCAAAAATATGTTTTCTTAAATGGTGAGCAAAGTTTTTCTAAACATCGGAGATCAGTATGGAAGGTCGGCTTTCAAAATTCATCAAAACGCATTGATTTTGGTAATTCAATTTTAGAAGTTGTGCCTCCATTTGCTAGTTTTATTTTATTTAAAAACTGTCTTTAATTCAATGCCAAACATTTTTCTGAAAAAAAAACAGTGTTTGTCTGGGTTTTACCGTATTTTTACGTTTTTGAATTCAGTGTTTTAAGACGAATATAAACCCTATTTTATTAGTATGTATTTTAAATATTTTTTCTTTCAGTTGTAAAGTAATCTTCACAAAAGCATAAAATTTCTTTTTATTATATTAATTATGGTTGGGAAGTTTACCGTCCGAAAACAATGTCTCCAACTATTCCAACCCAGGTACCATTCAGTTTCATCATCTGCAGAGCCACTTCTCTTTGACAAACTAACTTAACGAAAAGAAAAATGATACGATGAGACTTTGAAATGTCCAATGAAAATGAAATTGCTTAGTGTAAAAAGACCCATTTCATTTAATATTTTGTTTGCTTTTAAACATTATCAACTACACATTCCTATTACACAGTTAATGTATCCTGTATATGCTAAGAAAGGAATTTTAGCTGGTAAATGTTAGGTTGTCCAAATAATTATGACAGATGGAAGAAAGAAAAAAAAAGAAAATTTGTCTGAATTGGGCTAAAAAAAGATGTTGTTGTAACATCCAAACACTTTTTGCTTTTACACCTTTTTCGGATAATTTTGGAGAAACAAATCGTGCCAGCATCTAAGAATGTTTAATATTGGACAAGAAATACAAATTTAGTGCGCTGTATTCTAACAGATTCTTCTAGAGAACAATCTTCCAGTAACATTTTTAAACTGCACAAACAAACCGAAGAAAAATATTTGGCAAAATTAAACTTAAAGGTCTAGATTAAATTTAGTTTTGTGTTCACTAAAATAAAAAAATATCAACATAAAATTTTAAAAATAATCTTTAAAAAAACAGAAGTTCTTAAATTTTACCTTTCCGACCTCTACCCCCTCAAGGTTGTTCTTCAGTGTGAAAATATCGAATCCCCATCTTTTAGCAATTATTTTTAATATTCCTAAATTATATTGAATATTCCTAAATTATATTTAATTTAATATTACCAACCTATTTCTAGATTTACCTACCAATATTTAGCTATCATGTTTAGTTTAGGCCAGCTAGTTTCCTTTAATATTACCAACCTATCTCTAGATTTACCTACCAATATTTACTTGTACCATGTTTAGTGTAAGCCAGCTAGTTTACCTAAATATTACCAACATATTTCTAGATTTACCTACCAATATTAACCTGTATCATGTTTAGTATAAGCCAGCTAGTTTACCTAAACATTACCAACCTATCTCAAAATTTACCTACCAATATTTACCTGTATGAAAAACTGGAAATCCCGGTATAAGAAGTTCAAAAACATTTGTTGGAGAACTAACTGAAAATTACCAACCAAGTAAAATTTACAAGGCAAGGAGGATAAAGTGGCATAAAAGAGGCGCAATAAATTGCTGTAATATTTTGTTAAGTAAAAATAAAGGGGAAATCATTATTTTTACATCAAATAATTTATTATTTACAATTGTGGTTTACTATAAAGTAATTTTCAATTAATTCAACTTTAACAAAGAAAAGGAAATAAATTAAGACAGAAATACGACAATACCTTCCTCGTCCCGACAAAAGGTTGAAGAGTACTGTTCTAAATGTTATTGTTATTCACTTGAAATTCCGTGAACAGTATCTTTAATTGATCATTTTTTGTTGATATTTTTCCTTTAAGTGTTACATTCTTCAAATCTCGTCCACAGTATCTATTTTCATCAAGTAACCATTTGTTCTGAATATATATATATATATATATATATATATATATATATATATATTTCAGATCTAAAAATCCATAATTTATCATAATATTATCATAATAAGTATTATTGTTATTTAATAAAATTTTTATCATATCTATTATTATTAACCTTAAATTTGTCAAATGATTCTAAAATTTAACAAATTTATCCTGCAAAAAAAAAACTTACTGAGTTGTAGCTCCATCCATTTATTACTCGTAACTTTTTAATTTTCTCCTTTTTACACGTCATGCTGACTTTTAGAACATCCTTAAATTAGAGAACATTTAAAATACTTCTTTAATAAACAATATACAAAATTTGAAGTGACCCTCATTAACTTAAATCATGCCCGATTTACAAATCCATCACTAAAAATCTTTAACTGGTCTAGAATGAATAAAATAATACAGAGAAAGAAAGTTCCAACAGTGCTTATGTTATAATGATAAACGTTTAGTAATTCTCCCTGTGCCGAGCGCAAATATCAATTAAAGAAACCATTTCCAACATACTATTAAACATGACGGGAACTAGACATAACACTATATACTTTATTTTAAAATCAAAACTGGAAGCAGTCATTTATTTATAACAAAAACCTATACCATTTTCGAAAAACAATTTAAAGTTTTACATTTTCCCACGTAGGTCATGAATTCGAATCTTAGACGCGTTTTGGATCCAACAAACAACACAACCCATATTCTAAAAATATGTTTCCACATTTTACTTTTAAATACGAAGAGAAAAGATGACATTAAGTTTTCTCCATCTTTAATATAAAATTTTCCGCATTTTTCTGTTCAATTTAATTTTCAAAACAATGTGATGTTAATGTCAGACATTTTTTTACTCCTCGGCCTAAATTGAAATATATTAACAGTTAAAAAAGATAACTTTGCACAGTTGGCCCATATACCTGACACTCAGTGTCAAGTCTAGACCAAATCACGGTTTGGAACTTTCTTCCCTTGTATTATTATCCATATTTTTGGTAAAATTTTTAATTTTTAATTATAGTTCAGAGTGACTTGCGGATTTTTGATAAAGAAGCAATGGAGGAAATGTTAGACTTAAACTTTGCAAGCTGGAAAAAATGACGGTATCTTCTATCTTATGGCTCAGATAAAGATACGCAAATTAAGACTCCAGTGAGCCACCGAAAATTAAAACAATAATTAATTTAAAATTCATTAAACTATTGTCGATGAACAATATAAACGAGCAACAGTTAGCATTCATAGAATTCAAACAAACTATAGAATAAATGGGAAATCAATGTCGTCTTTTTCTTATTTTATTTTAAAATTGCTAAGGATTTCGTAATTTGCAATTGTTCCATCTTATATCTCTAAATATGTTCACTGAAAGGTCAATTCTTTTAAATAAGTTCAGTAGCAAATTACAATTTCTCACTGACCACAATTTCAATGTTGTTTTGGTTCTTACTGTATGATTGCCGCTCGTTTTTTTAGAATAGTTTTCAATTTTCCGTTTTTCTCCCATTTGTTTTCCTACCTTAGTTTTGTAGAGATGGAGAATTGGAACAAGATAAAATCTCTCTCCTATTTTATTAAAAAATAAAAATCTATAAAAAATTGTTGTGTTTGCATAATCTCCTATATTCATAACGTTTACCCCTCCCAAAAATCTCTAAAGAAGGGTAAGAAAATTAGACTTAACTCTAGAGTAAACCTCTTTTTTTGATCAGTTTCCGTTTTTTTTTCACAGTAACTTACGATATTTTTTGTAACTTAAAATTAGTTTTCTGTTTTAAATTTTGCAAAATGTATATCAGTGGGATATTTAAACAATCTAAGGTGTAGTTGATGTTTTTAAACAAGCTGTAGTTGAAAAATTCTGTTTTGTGACTTTAGAATATTTAAAGATCATAATTTGAGTCTACACGTCGCCCTTCTATGTATGCCCCTCTTTATAAACTTGTTTATAGTTCAACGTTCTACAGGGTTACCCAGAAAGAATTAGACTGTAAAGACGACGTAAAACTATATAAATTTGACCATTCCGAGATAAAATCAAGTCTTCTGCCTGCATAAATATAAGGAAACAGGACACTATAGGATATTATAAATTACGTACAGTCGTCTCTGAAGTCTCATCCTTTTTGGGTTTCAACGAATATAATATAGTCTTGAATTGTGATCTACAGGGTGTCCCAATAAACATGGGAAGAAAACGACGACTTCTACATTGTCTTTGCTACTAGCGGGATTATTTCAGGGTTGGAAAAAACCGAGGTTTTTTTAAAAAAACAGCCCAGTCGGTTTATTGGGTTTTATTTGGTTTTATTGGGTTTTATTGGGTTTTTCAATTTTACAGTAGTTAAAGCCTACTAAAACTTACTAATTCGTTTAAAAAAAAGACTATTAAAGTAATAGGTGAAACTAGTAGTCAAGAAAAATAATAATATTTTGTAATGCGTACGTTATAATCATACAGTGAAACCCTTAATAACGAATACATCGGAGAATTTATCAAATGTCGTCATGACAATTTTTCAATGAGTTTTATACTATATTACGTAAATTTCAGTATTTGCAAAAATAAATAAAGAGCCATGAATATGCGGGAACAGTTTTAAAGAGTTCCATATAATCATTTAATTAAAAAACTAAATATCTTCAACATTTCATTATTAGAAAGTGAAGAATACGACATTTGATGAGTTCTTTCGATGTATTCGTTATTAAGGGTTTCACTGTATACAAATTTTCTTTTAATTTAGTAATTTTTCCTCCCTTCTTCATGTGGGGTATGCTGCAATTGTTAAATATTTTAGTTCTAGGAATCTCAGAGTAAGTTTGGTTTATTTTATCACTTGGAATGATACATATTTCTGAAAAATAGGGACAACTCAGACTAGTTGGTAATAACTTTGTGCTCAAGAAGGAAGACCACTGTTAGATACTGAAATATTGTGCTCACTTACATGAGAATAATCAGAATGATATATACTTTGGAGAAAAAAACGCAGCGGGAGCGGTTGAACCAGCGGTTGAGATCTAGCCTAGACTCTACGCAGTTCAGAATAAGAAATGCATCTTTTTTGCTCAAATTTAAAATTTGTTCAGCCGCTAACTTTTTTGATTTCAACCGCTGTTTTAGATTTTTCAGCAACTTTTTAACTTTCAACCGCTGATTAAAAGATTTTTTTTAGCAACTTTTTGCTTTCAACCACTGACAAAAAAGTTTTCTAGAAAGTTTTTTCAACGCCTGGTTTAAATCTAGTTTTTTTGGTTTTAAAAATGTTAAGCCGTTTATTTTTGGCTTCAACTGCTGGGTTTCCCAGCTAACATTAAATCTTCGCCAGAGTTGGTTTTCCGCCGTCGTAAATGCGATGCCCTTTTTTTCTTTTTAAATGGAGGGTCATTTGAAATTACGCTTACAGTCCCTTTAAGTAATTCCTTGAATATTTCAACAGATCTGCAGCATCCTTATTTATTATTTAATCAGATTTGGTTTAATATTCTTTTATCCAGAAAAAAGTTTTAATTATTTACCTAAATTATGTCTACAGTTCTCTTTAAGGAGAGCAGGGTAAACTTTCTTCAGCAGAATTAATTTTTAAATTTTGCAAATTATTATTTGATAAAATGTTAACCCCTTGCCATAGAGCAGTACATCTATATATATAAAGTATAGTAGTCTGTGTTTGTTTGTTGGTTTTGATGTCCTATCATAACTCATGGACCCCTGGACCGATTTGCCCCAAATTTGTTTAGGGAACTTGAAATAACCAGGGGAATATTCTTATCCTGGTTTAAAACTTCTAAGTTGAGTGGATTGACTTTTATAGGGAAAACTCCAGGCAACGACAGGTTCCCAATCTAGTGCTTCATTATATAGTAATCTCTATTTGCCTGTTTTTTGAATTTCCTATCATAACTNATTTTTCTGCAACTTTTTGCTTACAACCATTTTCAGATAATTCAGCAACTTTTTTGCTTTCAACCGCTGGTTTTAAGATTTGTTAGCAACTTTTTAACTTTCAACCGCTAATGTTAAGATTTTTCAGCAACTTTTTTGCTTTCAACTGGCGTTTTTAAATTGTTCAACAACTTTTCTCTTTCAACCGCTGTGTTCAAGATTTTAACATCTTTTAAATTCAAACTATTGGAAAACAGTTTTTCTTAAAAAGAATTTTGTATTCAACCGCTTGGTTTAAAACTAAGATTTTGTTGCTTTAATAGCTGGTTTAAATATTTTTAGTACAAAATTTATTTCATTCTAAAAAAACAATCCAACTCTCTTAAAAAAAAATTAAATAAAGCATGCACCTTAACAAGTACTTTCATAAACATTTTATTGTTGGGAAATAAACTTAGAAGAAAATGAATAAACAAATATATCACACAACTCTTTCGTAGAATAATAAATAAGCCTGGGCCTTGAGAACCTTCTCCTCTGTAACTTCGCTGACAACAGAATCTGAAACGTGGAACCATCGCTGAGGCTGGTTCACACTGTCATCCTCCACCTCTGTCGACTGAGCTTTGTTTGAGGATTGCTGCTGGAGCTCCCATTGGAATCTTGATATATCCTCTACCCTGCTTAGTGGCGTAGAGAAGAAGTCTGACATGTTTCTTTCTGATGTGTTTGCTGGACGCACCTTAGAAAAAAATATAAATAAAGATAAGATCTCCAACTTAATTTTCTAATTCTAATAACTTTGCAACTTGGTATCATATAACTTTAGTATTAAAGTTGGGAATTCTGCTAGACCAAAACCAGAAGGTTAAAAAAATGAGGATTGGAAAATAAAGTTTGAATGCTTTGTAAAAAATCTAAGTTTCTTTTAATAAAAAAGTCTCCAAAATGTTACTTAAATAAAATTTTATCTAATTTTCGTTTGATTTGATTTATATATGAAGTCGGAAAATATTGGATTCATTTCCTTGTAGGTCAGTTGTCAAGTCATAAGTTAATTTTGTACCTTGACAAAGGCTGTATAGTGGCCACCCTCTATTGTTCCGGAATGTTGCACGACACCGTACAATCTGTATAACACCTAAAAAAATATATACAGCTCATCACATATACAATGTACATGCACAAAACGTTCAAGTTTTGGAACAAATATTTATGTACTAACTGTACCATTCCTGAACACATATTCACCCATTATTGACGAGATGGTCAATTTTGATCGTAACATTAGTACGTATCAAAAAGAATTTTTTGTCTCGTCACAAATTATTATGAATAACTCTTCATTTTTTGACAACATTATTGACTATGTATTTTTGCAAGTTATCTTTTAGTTATCCTATTTAAACTTTTTAATGCTATTGCGAAATGTTCGAAATCCAGATTATTTTTGTAAAAAAAGATTGTAGAAAATATTATCATCTGTAGATATATAAGTGACCTACTTTTTTTTGGTGTGGAAGCATGTTGGGAAGGGAAATAGCAGTACTGGAGCAGAAGGGAGCAAGGTCCAGCATTTCAGGGAATTCGACATGCTTGGTTTGTTTAACAAATCCTCTTAAGGTCTGAACAAATCGGTTTATGTGAATGGTCAGGATCATAGGAGGACAGAATATAAGCGATTGCTTAGATGCAGTAGAATAAGCAATATTAGTCGCATTTTCTTCGCTATCATCACTTCTGTCTTCTGAAGACCTGAATAAAATAATTTTAAATAAATATGCCTACTCGTGCAAAGAATAATTTTTATAACTTATGTTGATTTTGATCCAAATCTTGTATTAATACCAAAAAAAAGATTAAAGGTAAATGACAACAATTAGGAGATTAATTAAAAGGAAATATAGCAATGGGACAGAATAAACAGTCGTTTACATAAGCATCCCGAAAATTTATACTGTACCTAAGTTTTGTACAAGATTCACATGCCCATTTGTTTACCCCTGTTAAAAGCTCAGACTGCGTGAACTGGTTTAAACAGGAATTCAAGGAGCAATTTCTGCCTGCGCTCCTAACGTACCTTAAAAATAATTTTGCTATTTTAAATAAAGATGCTACATGTAAGCTGTTTTTTTTAAAATGTTTGTTTATCAGGATTTTTATTTATTTTATATTTAAGGGAGTTTCATTGTAAATTACCTTTCATTTAAAGAGGCGTATGCCCGTTTAAAATTATTTAAATTTGTATTATATTTACGTTTTCCTAACTTGAAAAGTGTTAAATTATGACAATTGTTTCTTATGCAGAAATACAAAAATCGATTCATCTTGGTCACTGCTATTCTCAGACTTGTCTATCACAGGTTCATAGGCTGTTGGTAGATTAGGATCAGAGTTGTGGTGCCGATGTTTACTAGGTTTATCCTCAGCCACAGGTAAACTAAATTGAACAAAAATGTTGTTGATTAAAATTAGAAAACTGTTTGTTTTGAGAGGTACAAGATGAAGAAAATGTGATGAAGAAAATAAGTAAAAATAAAACAATAATATCGTAAATGATATATGAAGACAAATTAAGTGATGTTTTCACATGTTCTTAAAAAATAGTTCACTTTAGTATAAACAAATACGATTAGCTAAAAATCCCAGATAACATCACGAGACTGAAAAATAAATGTTTACACAAATTAAAAGAAAGGTTGCACAAAATTATTTTACTCTATATTAATTTCAGGGAAATTAGATAAATAGCAAGTAGAATAATTATTATAAAAATGGTTATGAAAATCCTTTATTTCTTAACCTCATTAAAGGGACTGTAAAGGAAAATGAAAGGGGGTATAGGCTGAAAGCTTATCACTTCAGCTTGTGATTGCGACCCATGAAAGTTCTATCTGATGTTCCTGTCTTGAGATATTAATATACAATTTTAAGGATCAAACATTTGGTTAGTAACTGAATTATTTGCAGGATCAGGAAGAAGTGAATAAGAAATATATGTACAAGGAAGTGATTAAGAATAATGTGTGTAATAAGAAGTAGAAGTCATTCTGAATCTACCTAATATCAAGAAATGATTCATATGTTATACTTGAGAAATGGCATTCTTCGCAGACTACTGTAGACACCATTTGTCCTATAAAACCACCGCTCAAATATTAAATTTGTTATTTCTCAAATAAATATTTAATTTATTATGCGCCTTGTCTACATTGACCATTTTATTTTGAGAACTGATCTGAATTGGAAATTAAATAATACCTAGTTTGCTTTAAAAAAAATCCTAATTCTTTTTTCGATATTTAAGCAGAGGTTCCCTGAGAATATTTTATCCAGCAGAGTATGGTTTTGAGCTCTATCGTACAGTTTTAACTTCTTCTGAACATTTTCAGGAACAGCAATTCTATTTGTTTTCTTCGACAACCCAAAATGTTTATGGATTGCACTCCTCTGTCTGTTGACCTCCTCACTCCTCAACCCATCCATTAAATCTCTGAGATGAAAAATAATCAAGGTAAAAGAATAGTATCGATTAAGCTGATTTTCTTAGTTTGTTCAAATTTATTTTCCTAATTAAATTACTTCTCCAGTGCTGACAAGTTCAACTAGAGAAGTCATTCAATTCAAATAAGGGTGATAAGTTCTTATACAACTTGCTTATTGCTTATCATGAAGTTTATCCTTGAGGATGTTCTTTATTTTTTTTTGCGTGAAATTTCAGCAAAACTGTTTATACTCTCAATCATGTGACTGACTTGACTTGAAATGATTATTACCTAAGAAGTTCTTGACTGTCGTGCTGCTGCATTCCTTCAAACTTGGGAAATTGTTTAACAACCTGAACATTGCATCTTTTATACATATATGTTAAATTCCAGATTGCCTCTCACCCATTTCTTTTACAATTATTGTTCAAGTCTTTTATTGGAGATTTTACTGCGAGTAGTTCATGAACTGAATTCAGNCTCTATAATCAAATTAAGAATTAAAACATTTACCCTTCAACCAAATCTATCTTTTCATTTGTTAAAATTTTAAATTATTTAAGACATTTGATTTATGTCCGAACATCTTTAGAGGCTTTAGTAAATATAGATGGATATTGGATATGCTTAAAAACATAAAATAAATAACCTCGTTGAAAAAGTTTAATGGAGTTATGGTTTCTTCAACATCAGAATGCATTTCTTTAAGGAAAGCAGCCAAACTGGTCATCATTGGTCCTCCCTTTTGGTATTTAGAATGTGGTGGATATATTTTAGAATACATGAAACTATGGTAAAAATATGACCAACTTGCATGCTTTTTATTTGCCTTTATTTAGAACACTTTCTCTAAGTTACCATCTTTCCCTAAATAAAGTTATGTATTTCCCAAAAATACTTATTTTTAAAAAGTTATAATTCTGCGATAGAGCAAATAGAAAAAAATTAGCATATTCTAAAAGTAATTATTTGTTTAACTTACACAACATGCAACATTTTCTATCCTTATTAGTTTGGCCATTGACATTTCAGCAGGGATTCTATATTTGTTAAAGGGAGTGTTCGCGAAAAATGAAAGGGGTATAGGCTTTTGCAATAAAAAAGCGCTTTTAATCGCTCATAATCTTACTTCTATATGTTGCGTCTATAAGGAGAAAATTGTTAAAGATGTCTCATACTGAATAACTTAGCACCCATACAAATTGAGCAAAATTGCAACATAAAACTTCGACCGTAAAAAAATCATTTATATTTCAAACAAATCATTCAGATATTACAACCTATAGTCATCGGTTATCTTTTGCGACATTTGTAAATAGTTAATATTTTATAATATTTTTTAATTAATTTGTTTTGAAGTTGATTGTTTCTCTTGTCGCTTGCGCAACTATCTAAGAATGCCGTGCACCAGCTCACATTTTTCGAAATCCGTTAAAACATTATCTAAGAAATAAAATATTTTAAAATTTAAACTATATACAAATGTGGCGAAAGATAATCGATGACTACAGGTTGTAATATCTGAATGATTTTTTTGAAATTAAATTGATTTTTTAAGGTCTAAGTTGTATGTTGCAATTTTCTCAATTTGTAAGGGCGCTAAGTTATTCATTATAAGACGTCTTTAACAATTTTCTCCTTAGACGCAACAGATAGAAGTAAGATTAGTAGCGATCAAAAGCGCTTTTTATCGCATTAAGCATATACTCCCTTTCATTTTTCGCAAACACTCCCTTTAAAGCTTTAAATTGAACAAAAAATGATTTAAGGTGCCAAAAGTTCAAGGATTCGATCGGATTCAATACAATTTTAGAAATTGATTACACACATGAACTCAATCTGCATTGTAAATACTAAATCCTGCCTTGTTTAGTTGGATTACTGTCAAATTATCATTCTCATCCTCTGATAGTGCATTCTCTCCAGAATACTTCAGTACCTAGATTATTATTATTATTACAGGACAACCCATCATTCAATGAAATAGGGGTCGGCGCTCCTAGGTGCCGAAACGTAGATATAGAACAGTTTAAAAAATAAATTCTGAATTATATCTTATGTCATCAGTATGCATTATGCAACATAATTCAAAATAAAATGTAGACACCTGAGGATTAAAATGAGCTCCTTTTCTTGACTGTTTTGTAATGAGCTGGGTGAGTGGATGGGTCTGGGACAGGCACTGCATAACAGAGTTAAAGAAACAAGTATTTCCCAGGTTGGTCAAGCCTTTCACCTACAGGAGATAATAATAACTAAACAAAAAGTTCTTTAATTTTGTTAAAATCCAAGTTTACAGAAATTTACGTTTTACTCTGATCTCATAAAACTAATTAATACTTATTATACCACAGTAATATCATGGCAATTTTTCTGAGACTAATGAAATATTATCTTTCCTTGTTTATATTATTTTGATGGCTCAACTCTTCTTCTGTCATCTTAGGGGCAAAACTAGGATTCGTGTACTGCTTCTCATTCATTATTTCCATTGATCTCAAATTACACAGATAGGACAAGAGACCATTAGATTTATGTTTAATTGCAGATATTTCTACTTTATAGCAATCTTTTATCAATTTCAAGTGTAAATTATTTTTATCCTCTATGCATATTTGATCATTGTCAAGTTATCCACTAAAATTCAAATGTGTAAATATAGATCTTATCAATATCCTGCACTATCTCCAATACAATATAAATTTTTTTTGGGTCCGTTTCCGGTTTTCAAAAAAAATTATAATTTTCAGTTTGTTGATCGGTTTCCTCTTTTTTTGGGTCCGTTTCCTAATTTTTTGGGTTAGTTTCTGGTTTTCCAAAAAAAGTTGTAAATTCTCAGTTTGTTGATCGGTTTCCTGCTTTTTTGGGTCCGTTTCCGGTTTTCAACAAAAAAAAATCCAATTCTCAGTTTGTTGATCGGTTTCCTCTTTTTTTGGGTCAGTTACCCAGACCATTTCAAAATAATATCCCCCCCCCCTAGCAAAAAAAGTAACATCCTTTTCCACTTAGAGTAATACTATTTTTTATCTTACTTAAAATAAATTCAATTTTTTACAGATCTTTGTAGTTAATGTAAAATGAATAATTATAATGAAGAATATAAAACAAAGTGAAAGCTGAAAGTTAGGAAATGAAGCCATTGTAATTGTGTGGAAATGCAAATCAAACCCAATTAAAACCAATAATTTAATCAACATCCTGATAATTATCTAGGGGGGGGGGGATAAAAAAAATTAGGCGCGCCGCGCGGAACATTAAATAAATTCTCTCTCCCCCCCCCCTACAAAATCCTAATTTACGCCCCCGAGTTACCGACCGTTAAGTTAAGAGTTAAGAACTGTGATCCTATGGTTTCCAAATTTTAGGGACTAGAGTTACTCGTCTTAACAGTTTCATATACTTACAAACAATTAATTTGGTTTTAACTGCAATATTCTACAATTAAATAATTTTCAGCATGTCACGCAAAGCTAAGAGGAGGTATATTTTACATCAAATCAGTTATGCGACAGCTGTCGCTCTTTTTCAAAAGCTAAAAATGTGTCATTTTAAAAGAGCTTTAAATACGTTTAGCAGCAAAGTATTGACATAATAAACTTGATACAGAAATTAAACCCTAGCTGCTATCCATCAGGAAAGGCTTAGCTTTTATCCATCAGTTCTTGATATAATTTTTTATACCGTTGCAACATTAAATTTTGCATATTCTTATTACTTCCAGCAGCAATATTTTAAAAACTGAAATCTAAATTTCTCATGACGAATTGAATAAATTAAACTATAAATTTAACAACTAAATTAAAATCTCCATTTATTATACAGAAAAATTTGACCCTGCAGTACAAACAATCTTAACAAAATTAATCAAACAATTTTTATTTAACGCACATAATTATACACAATACACATCATGCTACAAATTGTACAAAATATGGTCGATAACAATTTAACTTTTGATTTACACTGTAAACGTGCCTTGAAGTAACTCTTCGTGCAAGTTAAGAAATGCATGATTCAAAGAAAAGAGGAAATTTTTATTTAAAATTTATACTCGAGATGTTTTAAAGAATTACTTGATAATCAGAAATATCAATTTTACTGATCATTCGAAATTACTGTAGTCCTTTAGTATTTATCATCAGACTGATGTTTGCTCCTTATTCATCTGGAAGATACAAGGTCATGTAGTAGAGCAGCTTCAGAATCATTCTTAAAAATATATACATATTGAAGGCATCTATATCGGAACTGAGCCAATTACTCACCGGGAGTCTGTAAATTGGAAAAAGTTTTCTAAAAAAGTTGAATAAAACGGAAACTAACCAAAACATCAAAGAAAAAAAAGCAGTTATTTGACTAGTTGTACACACTTAAGTGAATCAAAGTTCCACCTGCTTTCGACCTTTTAACTTTGTTTAGCTTTTAATGCACAATGCGATGTGCTGTTGGCTGATTATAAATCAATCATCCCAAAATTATAAAGTTCTGTAATTAATGAATAATTCATAAGCATAATTGATATAATTAAAAATATTTTTCAGCAGATAATCAGTCATTAACCCCCCCCCCCCCAAAAAAAAATGACCTTAAATGATTCTATAACTGATTGTTGAGCATCCAATAAGTCAAATTTTACCTTTGCATTCCATTTCACTTAAGTTTCATTCCGAAAGTCCATTGTGGTGGCAGTAAATCATGGATCCTACCACTATACTGTTCCAACACAAACATACACTATACAGTTAGTGTACTAGGAGAATAAGTGAAACCTATGGATCTGGCCATCTTCAATATCGTCATCGGGTGGATTTCTGAAACAATAATTATATGTCCTCAAGATTAAACAAAATTTAAACGAGTCTTGTTCAGAATAAATCTTTGCATAGTTTAAAGTTGAAATTTTTTCAGCCAACATAAAAAGGTTGTAACTAATTCAAGGAAAAGATATGTATTGGAAGAATATTTATCAAAGCTTTCACTATGACAGAAGATTTCACTAGAAAAGTTTTAATATTATAGCGATCATTCATTTAAATCATTTGAAACAGTAAAAATCGGACAGTTAATATCCCACGAAAAACAACTAAAGGGGATGGTGGAGATGGCACATTTGATGTAGGGGGGTAACCCAGGGAATACAGTAGCAGCAATGAATTCCATGTTTGATCATTTAATGACCTCTAATGTCCTAAAATGACATCCAAAATAAAAATGTTTGTACATGTAAATAAATCATAAGGGAACACAGGGAATACAGAAGCATCAAAGAAAGAATCTCCTACACTGGATTTGTTACTGCTACTGTATTCCCTCGGTTCCTAACTTTCGTTTGATATGCATAAAACCATACAAAAAACATTTCATTTTAGGAGGTCATTTAGGTCATCAGAGTTCATTAGAAGGTCAAATACTGGATTTGTTGCTGCTACTGTATTCCTGGGGTGCCTAGCTGTTAATTGATATGCATAAAGCCATAGTTAAATTATTAATTTTTGGAAGTCATGTAGGGCATTAGAGGTCGTAAGAGGTCATTAAAAGGTCAAACACTGGATTTGTTGCTGCTACTGTATTCCTAAAAAAAAATGAATCATCTGGATAAAACACTTTAAATCCTAGAAAAACGACAATATCGTCCACATAAATAATCAGATAAAGGGTTTAAAGACGAGCATCAGTTTCCTTTACCAGTCTCCTCAATACACCCAAAGGTAACTTAAAAAGGAACAATGCAATTAAAACCAAAGATTTATTACATAGGTAAGTGAGATTTATGCGACTAATTTGTGAATTCAATCAAGTAAGAAACACTTTCGTCTTACCTAGCCAGCCTGTTATCCTTCTCAACAAACTTCTTCTTGGATGGGGGAGGGGCTACGCCCCCGTTGGCTGCTTGAATAATTCCCAGGGAGTGTGTTTCCTCTCTAAATAAGTGGAATTTTTCAATGTAAAAAAAATACTGGTCTGTAATCCCCTTCCCTCTTGTGCAGGCGGGAAAATGTATCTAGGACAAAAAGTTTATGTAAAGGTAATTTTTCCATCCCTCTTAATTCTTATTGTCAAAAACTTATTTCCTTTTTTACTTTCTATAATTTTTTTATGTCCCATTCTATTAAGCTCAACTCATTTAACCTCTGGTGAGAAATAATATTTTATTTCTTGGATGCCTATATTATACTATGTTATTAAGTCACCCTGGAATTCATTTTGTCCCAGGTATATACGGATAAAATCACTTAGGCCAAGATGAAATATTCTCGGTAGGGATGTAATATTTATTACTTCCCTGCTGCCAATATTGTATCCCGGCTAGTCTTCTTAACAGGGATATAATATTTTTAACATTATGTTCAACCATCGGTTGGTTTGGATTAAAAAGAATGCTTATTTATAAAGTCTGAAAAAGTATCTAAAAATTAAAATCCTGGCCCCACCCCCCTTCAACTAGTAGGTATATAAGTAGATTTGAGGAGTGGGAAAAAAAAAGCTGTTTTATATAAGAGTTTACTAGTACCTCTTCAACTGTGCAACAAATCGAAAGAACTCTGGGTTGTGTCCCATATCTTGGTTGAACCTGAATTAGATGTGGTTATGACATTAGTTAGGAAAATACGTTTAATGCCATATGAATCAACCTAGAGTCGAGTGACAAAGAGGCAAAATTTGACAGAGGCAAATGTCTAAAGAACATCATTACACTCAGGGGTATAGACACTAGCAGAATTTACATCGATTTAAGCATGCATCATTTAGTATTTATTTAAATAGGTTGAATTTGTGTGTTTTTGTTTTTATGGTGCAAAGATTAAAATTAATTATCTTCGATTTACAGAAGTAAATATTAAATTTTTTCATTAATAATAAAAGACATGTTCACTTCAACCTATAAAACTTTTACCCAATTTTTAAATTCCACAATTCACTAAATCTAATAACATATTTTCAAAAACAACATAAATACAAGGGGAATAATTTTTTTAAAGAAAATTTAACCCATTATGAATAGAATTCGTTTAAAAGAGGAAAATATTTTACCTTGAATTAAAGCCTTCGGAAACATTGTTGGTTCTTGTAAAGCGATCACGATTGAAACAGTTCCAGGTTACTGGCCGATAGCAGTGGAACTGAGGTCCTGAACTTAAAAAAGTTAAAGAAGTCTTATAACCTATATTTTTAAACAAACATTTGACTTGTTGAGTGTCAGAAATTTTCCAAAGGTAAGATTTTTTAAGTACGGTTACAGCAAATTTAGCAAGGACAAGTCTAACAATAATTGCACAAAGTTTTTATTCCCAAACTTTTAACTTGTCAAAAAAAAAATCACAAAATTTGGGGACCCTGCCATCAACGGTTCTAAAAATATCGCAAAAAAAACAGAATAATCTTGAGTAATCTTTGAACATTCAGTTACGATTGAGTTTAGACTTAAAAATGCACCTGATATCTACAGTTTCTTTAAAATGGATTTAATTAAAAATCTCTAGGTGGCACTTTCAGAAAACTGAGATTTCAACTCAGAAGCCTGCATATTAATATATTCCGATTTTTTTATTCTGTTTTGACTTAAATCCTGCTGGTTTATTTTCAGCAGTTTGTACATTGTTGGTCACTTTCTTATTAAAAGAAACATTAGCTGCTCAAATTAATGCTATAAGATATCTGCAACTGTTTATACTTAATACATGTTAGGATTATTTAAAGGTTCACACTCTTCTATTGGAGGGACACTTGCCATTAAGCTTTTAGTCCCTTAAAAAAGAAACTCAAATAATACCTGGGTTCATGTATGTTGTGTTCACGTAGTTTATCCAGGTCATAAACGTGGGGTGGGCCGCAGCTTCGGTCAGAACCTCAGGATGAGTAAGATAGAGTGTAAAGTTGACCCCTAAATTAGTAGTTAAATCAAAGTTCAACTTCCTGCTTTATAAGTACATTGAAAAAGGAAAGATGTGGATAATCGCAAAGGAAATAAGGTCGCAAAGGGAATGGTATGGAAAAGAAATGTAGAGCAGGTACGAGAATTATAGAAGGCAGGTTAGGATGGACAGTGAAGGGAAAGAAGGGGAGCTCATCAATCAAAATAACCTAACCCTAACATATTGTCAGCTTAAATCTAAGGTACTTTAAGGAACTAATTTTCTACCAAATATTTACCCAGCGACTGAAAAATTACCACAGCCATACAACAAAACATTGCATGCAGAAGTATAAATAATTTACTTCACACTATTATTAAAAACAAATTTATAATAAAAAAATATAATAGATTTGATATTAGAATTGGATAAACTTTTTTTATATATATATATAGATAATATAAAAAAGTAACATACAATAGTTCTATGAAAAATACTAGCTTAGGAAGTTTTTCTTTTAAAAGTCAACCTATTCTTTTTAGAACTTTTAAATCAAGCTAATTACATTCCTCTAGTTCTAACAAGTTATCTGCAGTCAAAACCTGGACTATGATCGGACATACAAACAGACAGACAGACAACTAGAGATTACTACTTTAAATATACAGATATTCAGATGATAAAAGAATGTGAAGTATATTTAAAAGAAAGGAATGCCGATTCGACAAATTTCAGTGTACAGAAAAGATTATCCAAAAAATAATGAAAGTCTAATGACGACCCATTTTGCAACGTGATGCTTTTTTATATACAGGGTGAGTAAACATTTTTCAACCTAAAACACGAACCAGGGGCGTAAATGAGGATTCTGTAGGGGGGTAAATTTTTTTAATNACCCCCCTAGAAAAATATCATGATGTATATCAAATTATTGGTTTTAGTTGGGTTTGATTTGCATTTTCCACTTATTTCTGGTATTTACAAACTCCATCAAGGCTTCATTTTCTACCTTTCAGCTTTCACCTTGTTTTATATCCTTCATAGTCATTCATTTGACATTAACTACAAAGATCTGTGAACAAACTTAATTTATTTTAAGTGACATAAAAAATAGTTTTACTCTAAGAGGAAAAAGATATTACTTTTTTAAATCTTTATAAAAGCTACTCTGCAAAACTTTGAAAAAATATTGTCTTTGTTTATATCCTAATTTCTAATTTCGAAAATTTTCTTGTCGTCAATGTACTAGGTATACTTAATTTATACAAATTAAGTATACTTATTCTTTATTTGACATAAAGTGCAAGTATGCTACTGCATTAAAAAATTCGATTTTTGGGTAAAATTTATCAATGTTACTTTTATAAAGTGGATTGAGTAAGATTATCTGCGCGAACCGCCAAAATTTTTTTTTACATTTAACAATAACCATTAAATTTTAGTATTAAGAAAAAAATTGTTTAGTTTACCTACAACCTGGAAAGGTAGATCTCCTAGAACGGCAATTTTGTTAAATACTGCACGCAGTCTACATGCCGACCCGTCAGGATGAGGATGATTCTGTGGATGTTTATATACATCTTCCAACCGGTTCTGCGAATACAAAATCATTATTTGTGGTTATATTATTGTTTCAAGCTGCAACTGCAAGCATGTAATAGCTGCTATTAAATTTGCCCATTTTAAGTTAAACTTCTGCTATTATAACTCTTCCCCAAGTAGATGATTCGTCTTTTTGATCAAAATGAACATTATTTTTTTCGAGATTTAATATTTTACAATAAAAAATTCCTTTTCAATTAAATTGATTCTACTTAAAATTCTAATAAATGTCGGGGGGAAATGAATAATTATTGAAAGCATGATGATAAATGAATAATACATAATATTACCCTCACAATTCCTCTCCAGAGAGATTGATTGAAATGAAAATTACAGAAACGAACTCTACAGTTCGGCCAAACATCCTGTGCTGCTTCAGATGCTGCTCTCTAAAGAAAAGATAAAAATTCATTATGTTATAATAAACTCATTAATTACACAGGCAATGTAATTTTCAGTAATGTAGGACAAAAGGTTCGGCCTCCTACCATTTTAAATCTTGACGTGGCCCTCAGTCATTCACCTTTCCTAATCTCAATTTGGCACAGAAAAGATTGTAATCAAAGCTATAGCCGCCATAAATTAAGAAGGTGTCGGTTTTACTTTTAAAATACTTAAAAATTGGTTCATTTAAAGATTAAAAGCAGAAAATTTTACGCAGAAAATTGTTAAACCGGTGTCCGAATTAAATGAATTTAAGCCGCATCTAAAATCCCCCAAAAACCTGAATCAATTGAGCGCCGGCTTAAATCTTGAAAAATTTAATACAAATTTAAGTGGAACCAACAGAATTTGAGCCGCGGCCTTGAATTTAAACCACGGCTCAAATTCTTTAAATTCAGCCTTGGTTTACAATAAGTTTACATTAATGTTAAGATCATCTAAAACAGACCTTGATATCCACCATTCTTAAGTTATGAGCTCTGAGCTAAAAAATTGTGAATTGGATACCCTTAATCTTTAACGCTTCATACATATATATACCAGTAAATTAGGATGAGAATGAGAATGAGATGAGTAACAAGTGAATGAGGATGATAATACAAGGAGAAACAAGTAAATTAGGATGAGCACAAGGAGAAAAAAGTTAATTAGGAAATTTGCTGAACTGAGTCAAAGAAGAAAAGGTGTATTTTTAGGTTAAAAATCCGTACAATCCGTACAATTTTAAAAAAACCGTACAATTCATACATTTTGGCAACCCTGAATACCGTGAATAATACTAATTCAAGAGTGAAATGTGGTATTACATATCTTAACAGATCTTAAACATTTTTAATGAAAAAATAGATTTAACTATTCCTTAACCCTATCCCTGCTGGGGTACTTGAAAACCAGGATACGCTGGGGGGTGGTCAATTTGACCCCCCCCCCCTCTAAATCCCATGTTTTATGTCCAAATATGACAAATGATACATCATTAGAAAGCTCTTGTGCTCTACTTTTAGAATCTGCAAAAAAAAATTCAAATTTGCGTTAGGGTTAATAGAAAATATAAAAACGCTTTAGACAAGCAGTTACCTCAAAATCCATGATGATAAGAGGGGGCTGAATTTGCAGACCGATTGCAACTCCAAGTTCTGTAATCTTGGTTAACACAGCAGTGTACGCTTCTTAAATAAAAGTTTACTCTGTATGTTGACTTCAACCAAATGAAAATACTTTGAATTTTTCAAAAATTTCAATGGTATGTAAAAACACTAAGCAAAATGGAAAACAATATTTAACAGACACATAAATTAGAGAAAAAAATAATTTTCTACCTTTAGTTCTAACCGACATCAAACAGTATACACAGGGCACGTTGAACCCCTTATAAAGAAATAATTCAAGAAACTATAAATTCAAAAACATCATTATCAAAGATTTCTTTCAGTGCTTAGGAACTTAATCCGTCGGATCAACAATATTTGGGTTTACATATTAAGGAAAAAATAAGGAATAAGAAATTCAAATATTTTTTCTTCGTTCAGAAAATCAAAATCCTTAATGAGTGTGAGTGACCGGCATCTATAATTACCGAGTTTTGAGCACAAAGTAATCTTTCAAAATCATCTATTTCAATGGATACTCGATTTTTAATAAATTATCAAATAATGCAAAAAATGAAACAAAAATTCTTAAGTAAAACAATTAGTTGTCGAGGAACAACCTGAGAAATAAAAATGGATTGTTATCATTGAGAAAATAAGTAATCTTTTCAGTTATTTATTTCTTTGTTGTCTTTCATTGCTTATTTCTTATACCCTGTAGTTAGCGATAATCACGAACAGCTGGTTAATACCCATAGTGTCGGGTCGGGATCTGCAAAAATAAATATATTAATATATGGTACTAGCAATGAAACGGACGGTACAAAGGTCAGACAACAAATCCGGACAATCCTTACTATTTTAGGGTTAAAAAACTAAAATACGTACATTTTGGCCACCCTGTATATCATTGAGAAGGTGTAAATTCCAACTGGGTAAAATATTACTTAAATTAATTCGAGTAAATAAATAGTTACCATGCTATTGAATTATAGATGGTTACAAATGATCTATTTAGTTCAGCGTTTCGGATCCGGATCCGGATCTGGTCGGATCCGGATCTTGTCGGATCCGGATCCGTATCAGGAAACGTTGATATGGATCCGGGTAGCGCCAAAAATTAACCAAAACCATGGAATAATAAATAAATCAAAATGGTTCGTAAATGTATTATTTACATGACGAAAATGACGTAAAGATATTGATTTTAATTTAGATTTTTAGACATTAACTTATACTTTATTAAGATTTAGATATTAGATAAATATGAATTAATGAACATTTAATAGGGAAAATCCGATTCACAGAATCAAAAGTTACCTCGGATCCGGATCCGTATCCGTATCAGAGTCAGGATCCGGATCCATCATCACGGATGCGGATCCCCGGATCTGGTTCCGAATCCGGATCCGCATCAAAATGATACGGATCCGAAACACTAATTTAGTTAATAAGTTTTAATCACTGAAATAACCAATCATCAAAATGTCAGTAGGTGGGGGAACGTGGGGTCACATGAGGCCTAGTTAGTTCATTAAAATTAGTTGTTAATAATACGTACTTGAAAGTTCCGTCCATATTGAGGTGTTGGGCTTCAGATAAAATTCGCAAACCCTCATCAGAGACAAACAGTACATATCTCTCGTTCAGCTAAACATTCTTAAATAAGGTATCTGCATTCAAAATATGCACATTGTTAACATCCTCCCAAAATTGTTAATAGGGGCTAAAATTTCAATGGTATCATCTGGCCAGACCCTTTTGACTTTTCCATACACTATAGTCCCCCCCCCCTTAAACTCTAAATTAAAATCTCTTACATTAGTTTCCCTGTGGAAGATTTCGCCTTCAGATGTGGAACCCCACGTCCCAGGCATCACTTGTACATCTACGAGGGCATGAGGAGTTGGAGGGTAAAATTCTCTTCTATACTTCAACAGACCAGACCTGAAATACATTGAATGACTGGGGTGTATATTATTTTGAAAGGGTTTTCTTTGCTAAAGTTAAGCCAAAGGAAAGTTACTTTTTAATNATTTTGACCTTCCTTTGATAATAACTTCCACAAATGGTCAAATATTAAATAAATGAAAATAAGTCATGTGATGCATAAAAACTAGAGTTAAAATGTTAAAACGAGAAAATTTGAAAATTTTAATCTCTTAAGAGTTTCCGTCAACTATAACCCCAAAAATGGCGAGAAAAAAGTTACAATTTATTCAAAAATTTGAATCTCCATCGTTTCCGACAACTTGAACCCAAAAAATAGCAAGAAAATAATACAAATTATATGAAAATTCAGCAAATCTAATTTAGATCATTATGTACCAGCCCAACAAGCGCACCGGAAAACTAATGGGGTAAAAAGCATTTGATCTTAATTTAAAACTTGATAATAAAAGTTTTAAAACAAATTGAACTAATTGCTATTATTCCAATGGTTTTAAAATTTATTTGGAATAATTTCCACTTACGCAGAGGATTCGAACGTGGTGGTGAGCGCAGCAAAGGTTACTGGATCCGCCAGACTTGCATCATGCCAAGCACTTCTGAACAAAATTTTATCAAAATATAATTTTCTTACTGGGGTATACATTATTAGGAATTCCCACACCTCTAATTTTATCTAACACTATCTGAATATTTCCTGTTTAACTTCTAACCCTTTCTAAATGTTAATTAAGAGTAATTTAATTTCCATTTAAATTCAAGGTTTACATAAAGTTTTCAGAATGAGACGACTTATATGAAGTGGATAATGTACCAAGCTTATTTCAAATCATTTTTTGGTACTTAAGAACAACATAATACATATCTGTTGAATCATTATTTTAAAATAAAAATGGATATATTTATGTTGAAAATACAGAATTTCTTGGTAAGGAGGGAGCTCAGAACACTTATCATGTAAAAACAATAATAATTTCCCACTTTTAAGGTAGGATAGGACAGTAACCTTGGCTTCTTCGAAGGGTCAACCGCCAGACGTTGCTGTACGTCTGCTATGAACTTCAGATTAGCAATCTCCCCGTAAGGAAGAATATGGGCACTGTGAGGTCTTCCAACCTAAAACATTTATATTTCTGTCCATTAAATTTATATTTAAACAAGTCAGAATCAGTTTATAACCCCCCCCCCCCCCTCCGTACTTTCTCCTAACTACAGGGTGGCCAAATATTGTTTTGTTTTTTAAATCCGTACATTTTCAGAAAAAATCCGTACAATTTTCGAAAAGAATCCCTACAATCCGTACATTTAAGAGAAATAAAACCATTTTTAAAAATATTATTCAACACTGTATCACCCCCCCCCCATTCCCAACCACCTCTTTCTCCCCGCCATCTCTTAATTAGATAGGTAGAGAGCTAGAGAGCTAGAGAGCTAGAGAGTTAAGAGAGTTAGAGAGCTAGAGAACCAGAGAACCAGAGAACCAGAGAACCAGAGAACTAGAGAACGTTGATTCTAATTTTTAAAACTGTTTAGATCAGTGTAAATTAGGCCATTTAACAAACATAAGACTAAGTTATAATTAAAAAGAGTGGAGTGTAGATTTAGGATCTAATATAATTAAAATTAACAGGTGGGAGGTAGTACAGGGGTTGCACACTCAATTAAAAGAAAGTTAATATTAAACTAAAAATGATAAGATTTACAGATAAACGGAAGAAACCTGAGAGGATGTTCTCAGATCTGATAAAGAGACAGATAGATAGATAGATAGACAAACAGACATACAAATAGATAGACAGATTAATAGACAGAGAAACAGATACATAGACATATAGATAACCAGAGAGACAGATAGGATATACAAACAGATAGATAAAAAGATAGATAAACTGACATGCAGATAGATATACAGATGGATAGACAGATAGCTAGACAGATAGACATATTCTCAAATGAACACTTCTGGGACATATCATATTAAGTCACAGATACAGAGAATAAAACATAACTGTAATATAAAAGATCTTACCCTTATTAAGGCATTTGCAGGAATCGGTCCATCTTTATTTTGAATATCCAAGAGCGTAATCGTTGCTGTACACTAAAATTAAGAACTTAATTTCATAATGGTAAAATTCCGAAGGGATTGTTAACATATTTGAAACAAGTGATATTTATGACATTAGGAACAATAAAGTTATATTATCATTGACCAAAATGTATTCTTAATGAGGTGAATTTCGTGAATTTCCTTGTCATTAAAAAATGTAAAAACTTGACCGTCATCCAAAAAAATCGAAAAAATCTTTATATCTAATTCTGTCAAAATAGCCATTATTATACTAAACAAATTTATGATTTATCTAACAGACTAGTAAAAAAATAACCTAAATAGTGACTTATGTTTAGTAAATTGGCACCTAGGTGCTAAGGAAACGCCTCAACAGTTAACACGGCAGCTAACTGTAATACACTTGGAACCGCTTAAATATTGAATTTTTTATCAATAGATAATCATATATTACCAGTCTAGCTCTGCAGTTGTAATAAGTTTTCCCGTTTCGTGTATTTTTGCTGGTCCACAGATTCCTGAAATATGGAGTTTACTTAAAAAAGTTTAAACAATAATTTTTTTTAAATTCCTTTTTTTCTAAACAACTAATACATTTTTTGGAACATAAAAATGGAGTAAAAATGCAGTTAACGCCTTTAAACAGTTAAAAGAAGCCCATCAAAAAATTAGCTACCAGATTTTAAGTATATTTTTGTACCCAAATGACAAAAGTTCATTGAACATAAGTTCTTAAGGCAATACTTAAAAAAGAGTACGTATATGATATATACAATAAAAAATATCACAGAATAAAATTCAAATAATACTAGAAAATAAAATACCCAAAACGTACCAAAAAAAATAGAAATTGCATGAAATTTACGAAAATATACTTAATTTAGGTTTGTCTCAAACCTTTAAACTCTAAAAAATACAATTTTTTAAGTAAAGAAAAACCGAAAAAATTAGTAAAAATATGTAAAACCGAAAAAAGTATGAGCACTAATTTGTACTAAAAACACGTGTTTGGAAAACCTAAGCACTTAAAAAACTGTTGGGTGTGATAAAGACAGAAAAATACTAAAATATACGCAAATTCTTTGCCAAAAAATTGAGCAAACAAATTTTTACGTAAATATACCTAAATATATGTATAGCTATATAGAAGCTTTAATATATTTAGGTTTTCAGAGGCCGAATTTAAAAAAATTAAATTCAAGCCGTGGCTCAACTATCATTGGTTCCACTAAAATTTTATTCAATTTTTTAAAAAATAAGCCAACGCTCAATTGAAACCGGTTTTGGGCAGATTTAAGCCGGTGCTTAAATTTATTAGATTCGGACACAGGTTAGGATAGTTTTAGCTTTACTAAATGCTAATGGTTTCATAAATCATAAATGTGAATTTCAAAAGATGACTAAGACATTACAAAAACGACACTGATATGAACTTTAGAATTGGATACTCTCAAAATTCCTTTATCTAAAACCATATATTTTGGGTGTCCCAAAAAACATGGGAATTCAGTGACGAATTGGATATCGTCTTTGTTTTGATTAAGTATTAATTAGCATTGTCCAACCTAATTTCAAAAGCCATAGTATTATTACATCTGCTAGAGTTTATTTTATGAAAAGGGTAAAAGACAGCTAAGATGTGTCTTTAATGTCTCCGCAAGAACAGTGAAGACGGACAAGTTTACTCTGTTACTGCAATTTTCTTGTTTTACTAAGTACAACCGTATGCAGTCAAAACATAAACTAACAAAATGTGAACATGGCAGACGAAACTCTTGCAGATTACAGCTTTCTCAGTAGGTATCAGTATACTAAATCAAAGAATTATTTGAAAAGACGATATCGAATTCGTCACTGAATTCCCATGTTTATTGGGACACCCTGTATTTCGCTTATTCGATGTCCCTTGGAGATTCCAACAAATTAGTTCTAATTAATTAGCATGTGAAAAAGGGCTTTTCTGGATTCCACATAAACGCCAATAATTTTATAACATTCTCAGGATACAATTAACTAAAGATTAAATTGTTTTGAGATTAACAAAAAGAGAAGACCAGTCATTGATCTCAATATCCTCAATTTCTAGTTTTCAGCTATGTTAACATTTTTAAGGCTTAACTACAGTTAAACCCCAAAATATTTAATACATCAACGATTTCATGAAATCTCATATTCTTCACTTTCTGAAAATGGAATTTTGCAAATACTTTTTTTTTAATTAAATCATTAAGTTGAGCTCTTTATTTATTTTCGCAAATACTGTGATTTACGAAAAAAGTATTAAACCCATTGAATAATTGTTAAGACATTTCATAAATTCTTTCGATGTGATTTATATTTAGGGTTTAAATAGTTAAAACAATTTTACATGATCAGAGAGCTTTGTTAAAAACATTACTTACCCATCCTTCACCAGAACATGACCTCCATTAGACCTTACGAACTCCATCTAAATATATCATTGACAGTGATTTAATCGCAGGTATGGTTTTACTTTACCCTAAACAAACTGGGCACATTAAATTTCGCAGTGCTTAGGATCAAATTATCTTGGTGCGGATCTTGATCTGTATCCTGCACAGCAAAATTACTTCTTTAAAATTATTTTAAGGTTAGGTGCAGGGCTTAGGATCCATTTAATTTTGATGCGGATCCGGAACCTGATCTGAATCCGCACTGGAAAAAAAATGGTTCAGGATCCAATTCCGGATCCAGGTCATTTCTTTGGGATCTACTGAAATTTGTTTAACAAAAAATAATTAACAAATTTTTTGTTTCATTTTTGTCACTTATTTTTATACTACAACCGTTGGATCCGCAAGATTTTGGCTTCCTGGATCCGAATCCGCAATAATATGTGGATCCAAGGGGTATCAACATAAACTGCAAAAAAAGCCTTTTTTACTCCTAAAACCAAAACCTGAACTTTTGACAAAAAAGAGATAATAAACATTCCCTCATTTCTGAAAGGTTCATCAAGTAAGGATAAAAAATGTGCAAAAATAATAAAACAAAAAATTTGAAAATTATTTTTTGTTTAAAAATTCATTGAATCTTACTGAAATGACCTGGATCCGGATTTTGATTCGGATCCATTTTTTCCAGTGCGGATCCAGGATCCGGATCCACATCAAAATTAAATGGATCTTAAGCACTGCCTGAAACTTAATGAACCAATCAGAAATGAGGAAATTTTTTTAATCCTTCTATTTCATAAGTTTAGATTTGGGTTTAAGGAGTAAAAAATATTTATTTGGCAGTTTTTATTGATATTTTACCGCTTGGATCAGGATCCGTGGAACTGCATATTTTTGCGGCTCCAGATCCAGGAAGCCAAAATCTTGCGGATCCAACGGATCCGGATCCTAAGCATAGTTAGGTTAGTACAACTTCTTAGCCGAGCGCTGTGGCAATAACAGACTAGGGGGGCTGAGCGCTGAGACTTTGACAGGCTCTAGGGCCGGGCGCTGCGGCCACATGACCAACTATGGGACACATTGAATTTTAAAGGCTAAAAATGACTCAATTTCACCATTTCTAAATTCTTGATATTTTTTATTTTTGAATTTTTAGAACTGCAATAGTTAGGGAATGAATAGGTTGTGCAATTTGAGCGTTGGCCTTTATCGGCGGCCATAGCCAAAAAACTGGGTAAATTTTACGCTTTGTGAAACAAAATTTTGTACAGGCATTTGGTCCAAAAATTTGTGATAGAAACTATATATATTTCTAGAGAAAGATTTTTGCCCCCCCCCCCCCTTCCTTATCAATTTTGTACATCTGTCTCTAAGTATCACATCGATAATATTGGTCATAATACATAAGACATGTACAACATAAACAATAACCGGCATCCATTTTGACCCCCATTATGCTCTCGAATATGTAGACACCAAAACAATCAGACACCCAAACAAACAGACAGGCCAAATATATATATAAAGATGTTTGTTGTGAGAAGTTTCTAGTTTGGATGTAGGTAATGTTATAGGGATCAATTTTAGGACCCCCCCCCCATCCTTTTAATTTTGTACATGGATTTCAAACGTTAAACATGACCGTGTGGCCGCAGCGCCTGGCCCTGTAGCCTGTCGAGGTCACGGCGCTCGGCCCCCTAGCCGCAGCGCTCGGTATCCTAGCCTGTTCTGGGCATAGCTTTCGGCCCAGAAATTATCTTAACCTCACCTAACCTAAACTAATAAAATTAAAAAAATAATACTTTTGCTGGAAAACTAAGTAGTCGTGTACAAAATTGACCAGAGGGAGAGGGCCAGGGGGGGGGGACAAAAAATCTTTCTCTATGACGGACCCTGGAACTGAACTAAAAAACATCGTACTGCAGCTTTCACCCCATTGCAAGATATATTGTAAACATCAATATGGTGGCCTTCAAGTGCCGCGTCTAGGACAGGCTGAGGCTATTGGGCAACAAATTATTTAAATTTACCTCCTCACTTCCAGAAAATCACACTACAGGAACAACCAGACCCAACCAACTACCAGACCTTGCCAAGCTAATATTGCTGAATCTGAAATACATGATAACGAAAATGCTCGTATAAAAATAGTGGCATAGAGATTAAAACTGACATTAAAACTGTTTGGACGTCGGATCTTGTCCATGAGGATCTAAGGCACTTGTGTTAATTTTTGTCAGGTACCGGCAGTCGGCACCGCAAATTAATTAATTTATACTTTACTTTTTGATCTTTGGGTGTTCAGAAAAATTTTTATTTTTGCTCTATGAATTCTTGGTGATTTTCTAAAGAGCAATTTGTGCTAGTTTATTTAGCCGAAAATTAATTGCGAATCCAAATGCTATAAAATTGTAATAGTCTGTCAACACAAAATATGTTCCTTTCACGTTCAGCAACGGAAATGACATCCATCCTTGGCCCGCAGGCGAGGTCAAATTTGATGTCTTTGTAGGACGGTCCCTTTTAACTTTAAAAAATATTATACGCTTTATTGCAGAAGTAATACGATTTTTGGACCCTTCTTTTGGGCAAAAGTATTTTTTAAATGGTATATTTAGGGCCTTAAAAGTGTGATTTAAAAAAATCCAGCCTCGTCACGCAAAAAAGCCCAACTCAAACCATTTTTTCAATTGTACTTAAGATTAATATTTTGTGTTTTAAATTCTTAAACTGTTTTACAATGAAATTTTTGACAAATTTGACTGAGTATTGCATCTTGAAATATCACAAAGTCTAATGATTATTCAATTACTGACTCATTATACTAAATCCATCTTAAAATCACTCATTAAATTATGCAAATTATGAGTCAATATTACTACCGTGCTTAAATAATCAAATTAGTCCCGTTTTACGCAGAAATTGACGATTATAAATGGAAGATTGTTCCCAGAAGACTATTTAGGGGAGGTTCGGAAGCTGTGCGGGAGAGGTTGCCTTCCCTCGCTGGTCCTATCTACGTTTTCATGCCATCGGCCAACCTGCTCATTCTCTGTCACAAAGCTGTTTATTGGGAAAATTATGAAAATCTGGCCCCCCAGATTAACTTTCCCTCATAAGGATTTGTACTTTTTGTGAGACTTATACGTAACGAAAAATAAAGTAGTTCTCCTTTTGCTCTTTAACCATGTAAATATATTTGTGCTAGTTTAGTGACCGACCCGTCGGTCATCTTTTTTTTACCTGTAACCTTTTATTCAAATAAATTAAGTTAGATGTCAAATCTCGAGTTTAATAGACAGCTGGGATCTTTAGAATGGTGGATATCAGGATCAATTTGTTTAATCCTCTGTTTTTGCTAATATCGAGAAATCATAATCTGGAAATTATGTTAATCATGAGATTAAATTTCTAGATCAACAAATTGGATTCCTGACCATGGAATGGCCTTCAATTAATTTCTGACCCATTTATTTATTAATACATTAGTAAAAATTGGTTACACAAGAATCTCAAACGTATTATTAAATGTTTTTCTTCACTGATTAATATACAAAGTACAAATTCTTGATTTAAAAAAAAATGAGGATTTCTTTCATGGGATAGAATTAATTTTCAAGGCTGTCATTGGTCAATGCAATTTACGAACTATATTCCTGCACTCTCATTGGAGAAAATAATGTACGGTTATCCAAAGAGAGAAAAAGAGTTGATTAAGGACTGAAATTGAAAGTTTCCACAGTAGATATTCGGATTAAGTAGTTGGGATTAAAGGTTATCCATTCTAAAGTTACCAGCTCAGGTCTAGTACTCCTCGTTTTAAATCGTTTATTCAAATAAAAACAATTTTAGTATAATCACGATATTTTTACAAAAATTATTTAATTCCAGCATACTTTAACCAAAATTCATATTGGCGTCATTAGGTAGCCCTTTGAAAGGGCTTTAATTTGATATATGACATGTACAGTTATTCTGTACTGCTTTACGTGTACAGCATTCAGAGTACAGACAGTAAATTAATATTAAAAGTTTGCAACAAAAACTGGCATCTAAAGTCAGAAGGAGGGAGGAAAGATAAGTTCTGTTGATAGATAGATACAGTCAGTATGATAGATAGATAGAGATAGCGAGAGAATACTAAAAAAAACAATTATATTTCATGCCAGCTTTGTGGCAAAGTTTAAAGTTTACTATTAAGCAAAATAAAATTGACTCTGAAAAAAACCTAAATATTGTGGAAGACGATGCCTGGCCGCGTTAAACAAGTTCCACAAGATTCAACAGAATGAGATAAAACGGATACGGGGCACAGTACTCAAAAAACATCTACACGTGTGATATCGATATTGACTCATGTTCTGAACCCCCTAGTAATAAGTTATAGGAAATATATATACTGGAAGTTATTTATGCGTTTTCATTAGAGTCTGACTCAC